AACACAATTGGCAGATTTTCTCTAAATTACTTTTACATGCTTACTAAAGGATAACAAGTGTATGTTGTCCAGGCCGGCACTGTACTAGCGCCGATATAAATTATCGCACTTCAACTGGAGGTGAGAAAGCATGTCTCCCCCCATAACCCGACACTCAACACCGCCCTCCACAACCACAACCAGGACGCACACACGAAAAATTATGCCAATCAACATATTATTCTGCGACTTCCTGTGTAAAATTACAGACCCCTTTGGGAATAGCAGAGGAAGGTAGAATTATATGCTAAGAATCTGTGATTTAATCAAAGGCTATTAAATATATTTTTCAGACATGAATTATTATTTTACAGGTTTTTAAGAATGTTATTTTTGTGTGTGTGGGGGGGGGGGAGGCAAAGATTTACAGTGAGACACATATGGGGTAGTTTGATGAGTTGTAGCACAGTGGCCTGCGTCCTCGGCTCACAACCAAGGGACCCGGGTTCAATCCCCAGGCAGGATAGAAATGGGTTGGGAACATTTCATCTGATGCTTCACTTCACATAGTCAAATGAGTACCCGGAAGTTAGGGGGTTAGATCTATTGTGTGTTGCATCTTGGAGAAGGTCAGAAATTGGCCTAGCCAATTTCGTTGGCTAGGCGTTGGCCTCGATAAGGCTAACAGGTTTCCTGACCCTGACAACGGGAGTTATTATAATACAAAAGCTCTCATAGGCCCAAGCAGCGTTCCTAAACTTTGTTTCATTGGGTTATGTTAGCAGAGCGAATATTTTGTTTTTTGTAATTGTTAAGAAAATTAAAATAAATATATAAATATCCATATACAAATCGAAAATATAATTGCTTCAATAGAGCGGATTCGGACGAGTCAAATAATTGCACGATTATTTATATTTATATATATATATATATATATATATATATATATATATATATATATATATATATATATATATATATATATATATATATATATATATATATATATATATATATATATATATATATATATATATATATATATATATATATATATATATATATATATATATATATGATTAAGCACTCGTGTAAATGGTCTATCCACACGGCCTACTGGCCTTATATACTTTATGATTGACAGGAACGAATAAATCCAATTGTATATGACACTTGACAAACCACAGCCCACAGGCCTATGCTAAACAGGACTTAAAATTATATATATAAAGTGTTTCCACTTACCCAGTTGGCAAGTGGTGAGAATGTCTCCCCGAGGACCACTTAATCCATCACAGCCACGACAACGTGTCAATCATTTCCTCGCCTTCATAACTCCCTCTGCGTCGAGTCGATCGTTAAATCGTTAAAGCTTGTTACATGTGAAAATATTTTTTGTTTCTGCAATGTCACTTAATATCACACTTGCATGTAGTTTTTCCTGGGATACGGGAACTTACAATTCGGCAGCCAGGTGTGCGATAGGGCTTTTGAAGCGACTGGCAGAGCGATCGTGAATGAGAGATTGTGTGAGGTAGCGATAATACGAGACTGCGATTGTGTGAGGGTAGCGTTAGTGTGAGGGTAGCGTTAGTGTGAGGGGTAGCGTTAGTGTGAGGTAGCAATAGTGTGAGGGTAGCGTTAGTGTGAGGGTAGCGTTAGTGTAAGGTAGCAATAGTGTGAAGTACAATTGTGTGAGGTAGCAATAGTGTGAGGTAGCGTTAGTGTAAGGTAGCAATAGTGTGAAGTACAATTGTGTGAGGTAGCAATAGTGTGAAGTACAATTGTGTGAGGTAGCGTTAGTGTGAGGCAGCGTTAGTGTGAGGTAGCGTTAGTGTGAAGTAGCGTTAGTGTGAGGCAGCAATAGTGTGAGGCAGCAATAGTGTGAGGGAAGCGTTAGTGTAAGGTAGCAATAGTGTGAGGTAGCGTTAGTGTGAAGTACAATTGTGTGAGGTAGCAATAGTGTGAAGTACAATTGTGTGAGGTAGCAATAGTGTGAAGTACAATTGTGTGAGGTAGCAATAGTGTGAGGTAGCGTTAGTGTGAAGTACAATTGTGTGAGGTAGCGTTAGTGTGAGGCAGCGTTAGTGTGAGGCAGCGTTAGTGTGAGGCAGCGTTAGTGTGAGGTACAATAGTGTGAGGTAGCGTTAGTGTGAGGTACAATAGTGTGAGATAGCGTTAGTGTGAGGTAGCGTTAGTGTAAGGTAGCAATAGTGTGTGGTAGTTATAGTGTGAGGTAAATACAGCATGAGGCAGCGGTAGATAACGTTGCCTACAAGACAAGCGATATATAAGTGACAGAAAGCAACGATAGCGACAGCATGAGTCACCATAAGTGGTTTAGGAAGTATGCTAAAAATATGCACTAGATGATGGTGGTATCCATTGATCACCGCTACACACACCTCTTCCTCCTCCTCCTCGTCTACTGGTATATGTAGTACTGTATTCCCCCAGTCTTACAAACCCTATTCCCGCTGATTATTCCAATTTACAAACGCGTTAATTCCTTATTATATTTCAGTATTTGACACTATGAGTCAAATCAAAATTCTTAAAACAAAATATAATAAATTTCATTTTCCAGAACCACTATTATCGGTTAACATGCATTCATAACGAACATGGATTGTTGTTGGTTAGAGTTTAGGTTGGTTTAGTGTTCCAGAGAGTAATATAGAGTCTCGGCGTGTACACAGGTGAGGGAGTACACGCAGGAACAGGTGTACAGGACTGGCACCTGGTGCGAGAGACTACCTGGCACACCCTCTCCGCGCGGTGGTCGGGTCACTACTGTCATGGAATTCTCTCCTCATGGAAACTCGGGTTAACCCGGTTGCCACTTTGTTGAGTTCTCGTCGAATTATTCTTTATTTTTACTTTTACATTTTTGCTATAAATCGTTGACATATTGATGTGAGTATTTAAAAGTAGAATTGTATCATTGCTAACACTTTCAATGATTATTAGTCCGCTTTCGATAATATTTATTGTAAGATAGTAACCGTGTCGATGCTTATTCATTCAGGCATTAGGCAATGTCAACAAACCAGATTCACGTGAATGAAATTTTTTACCATCAAGCTTAATGGAATAAATAATTAACGTATTAGTACAAATGTCAATTAAAAGTATCAATATAATATCCAAGGGCATCCACACTACAAAACAATGGAACATTGGGCTCCACCTAGCGTGGGTTATCTTAGGAAAATCGTCTTTATGGACCTATGTGATGAGATGTTCCGATGTTGACCTTAATTATTAATTCACTTGTACAGAAAGTATTTTTTTCTTCTCAACCATTTTCGAGTTGGTGCTTTGTGTCTCAAGTGAGCCCCGAGGCTTAGGGTGTGTGTGGGGGGGGGGGGGGGGGGGGGGGGATTTTCTGGGAAATTTGTAGTTTTTTTTTAGGTAATTTGTTCCGATGTGATGCGCTCAACAAATAACATGTCTTGGCTTGTCTATCAACCCATGGTCGGTTATTTACTTCATTAATTTGTATAGGTTGCCTGTGTTCCGGCATCTTTTGTGTAACATACGCGGAAACTTGGGTAAGGATGTATTTATTTCACGTATAATATACGTTCATGTGAAAATATCATAAATCTTAAACTATCATTGATTTCCATATGCAGAGTGTGATGCATAATTTGCTCGTGCAAAGTGTAAAACATGCCAGTTTGAAATATGCATTATAGTGAAGATGTATGTATATTGTGTGGTGTATGCACAATTAGTGTGTGTGTGTATAGGCGTTCGTGTCAGCGTCTCACGCATGATTTATGTTATACATACAACTCTCAGTGTCTCCCACGGCTCGGTCTTTATCGAGTAGTAAGTAATTATCAAAAGAAGGCACCAAGCCGGGAAGGGTATGTAGCACGGGGCAATGCAATGTTAAATGGGATTCTTGTAATGTTATTTGTCTATTTGTACTCACTGAATTTGTGCGCCCCTTGAGGGACTTGAAGTAGAGGGGGGTAGAAATAGCCTAAGCTACTCTATCCCTTTGAGATGTATTTATTGCTTATCTCAATAAACATACTTGAACTTGAACTTGAAGCACGGGGCCTTTATCGAGTCGTCAGTGTTTATCAATACATCATTCAATTCCTTGACACAAAACTTACAACTCTGTCGGGTCAGACTAATAATTCATGCAGATGCTTGGACTTAAGATTATTCCGTTGTGTGTCTTGTCAGAGTTATAATTGGCTGTAACCACAGTTTGAACAACTTCACTAGCTATTACCCGCTGCCAGACGTACAATGTGTACACGTCGGATAATTATTACGATAGTTTGGTTTTTCCGATTCTACGTAAGAGGCCTCGATACACAACCCGTCCTCTTAAAAATAACGTCATTTTTCGCTCGTATGCGCGCTATGGCCAAATTTAGACGTAATTTGAAATGAAATCGACTCACAAAAGTGACGTACTGTTCCGTTTTCTGTTTGAGTCGTCCGGCTTACTCGGCCAGCTTAGAAAAGAAAACTTTCCATTAACGTTTTTCATACCGGTTTGAAACTTTTGAGAATTTCCTGCCAACCTAACCTATCAGAGAACCCTTAACTTACTGTTGTTGAAAAAAAAAAATCCCAAATTTATTTTAATTTTTTTTCAAATTACGTCCATATTCGGCCATACGGGCAAACGGCCAAAAGCGACGTTCTTTTTAAGAGGACAGGTTGCAACATGTATATATATGTAACGTACGATTATGTTACGTTGTTGAGTAGATTAGATACACGGTGTTTAGTGGGTTTTCATATTTATTTAGTAGTCTTGGATACAGCAGTGTCGCAGACGTTGAGACGAAGCTTGGAGCAGAGCAGAGAGCTGAGTGTGGCCGGAGTCGCGGAGCTCTATGTGGGAGAGCGTTGTAGCTGGATGAGGTCCTAGTCTGCTGCCGAAGCTGTAGCGTCTTGGGGCGATTAAAACTGCATACGCCGAGTGCTACATTCTTGACTGTGGAAATTGTTCTGTTGGCTATTCTCATATCGCTTGCTTATATTTGGTGACTACACCTCAGCTTCCTCCAATAACAGAAGGATGGAAGAACTGTTACCTGTAATTAGGGAAAACATTATAGCTTCTGTACTTAGTGCTAATTAGTTATGCCATTAAGATAATGAGAGATTGGAGTGAGTATAAGGTTTACTCGCTACATATACACTGACTGCCTGTCCCAATTATTATTAATTATAAATTATTGTTAAGTTAGATTCTACCAGTTTTCCAATCTTGCTAAATGACAAACTTCAGCATTTTTTTTATACATGATTAAATGTTTTTGTTTTATGCAGTTCATTTATGAAGACACTGTAGTGAAGATAGTTACATTGATGATGGGGATGAAGGAAGATGTTTGTAGATAGTATTAAACACCGTATGTTATGTGGTGAAGATGTGGCCTCAAGTGACCTCGAGCACTACCGGTTCTCTCTTAAGTGTGCTTGTATTCACCAAGGAGCTCAACAAGAGAAATGGCGTACATAGGCAAAGAAGGTATATCTTGAGGTTATCTTGAGATGATTTCGGGGCTTTTAGTGTCCCCGCGGCCTGGTCCTCGACCAGGCCTCTACCCCAGGAAGCAGCCTGTGACAGCTGACTAACACCCAGGTACCTATTTTACTGCTAGGTAACAGGGGCATAGGGTGAAAGAAACTCTGCCCATTGTTTCTCGCCGGCGCCTGGGATCGAACCCGGGACCACAGGATCACAAGTCCAGTGTGATGTCCGCACGGCCGACCGGCTCCATGGTACCGTAAGGATACTATACCATATCTGTAGGTCACCATTGAGAAGTCTTAAGGCACATAGGTACCAATGGGGATGTTGACCCATCAGTACCTACTTGACCAGATACATTAGCTTAATGATTCATTCATGTTCCACCGAAACTCATTTTCTCTCTCCCACCAAAAAGCATGCGAGCACTAAAGTAACAGCTCCAGGGCAAACTTTGCTCACAGATGACGGCACCCGACTATATATTTTTATATATATTTAATATATACAGTATATATATATATATATATATATATATATATATATATATATATATATATATATATATATATATATATATATATATATATATATATATATATATATATATATATATATATATATATATATATATATATATATATATATATATATATATATATATATATATATATATATATATATATATATATATATATATATATAACGACATATATATATATATATATATATATATATATATATATATATATATATATATATATATATATATATATATATATATATATATATATATATATATATATATATATATATTTGAAATTTAAAAGGTTACAAGATGCTTATTAGTTAATACAATGAGTGTTTAAAGGTTATGAATCTCTGAGCTCCTCTGCTTCCGGACAAGAACCGAGGACGCAGCAGGCGTTTCCTCTCTGGATCGCCATACTGATGTGCCGAAACAAGAAACTGGCAGCCCTTGGGTCTCTGGTGATGTCAATAAGACTGGAACCCAATTCTTTGAAAAATCCCAAGGCGCTCCTACCCCAGGGGCCATGCGTCTTAGATGCTATGGGAACAAAGGTATATTTCAGTCACCTGTATTCGATTGATTTACCCATTTCCCTGCAGTTGGCCGCCCCACCTGCTTGATCAGCACTGAAGTGTATGTAGGTGTCAATGAGGGTGGATACACGTGTAGTCCCACACCAGCTGTCTGCCCCTTTTCCAGGGGTATATTGTGATGCCACCTGGGGTAAGTGCAAGGTCATCCTGGTTTTGGTTCCCTAGGATGCGAGGTTTTATATAAATTTATATAAACTAGTGTTGCCGAAAGCCACTAGACCGTGTCTTTGCCTCATCCCTTACCTTAAGCCAAACCAGAACCTTAACAAGCCATTCTTAACTGCCTCTCATTATCGAAGCACTCTAGTTTCCCTCGTTACTTCAAGGGACCAGCCATGAGAGACGAGGTAAAGTGATACTGTAATAGGAAACAACGAATCTAGATGGTACTAGTACAAGCTGATGTATGGACTGAACTGTGCTAGTCTCCTTAATTAAAACAAATCTCTTATGAATTACCACAAACAAATTTAAGTAACAGTTCCCGTGGCACAGGGGTAAAACACTCGCCCCACGCTTTGCGAGTGATTTGGCCTGGGTTCATATCGTGGCTGGGGAGGATTGACTAGGCACCAGTCCTTAACTGTATGCCTCTGTTTGCCCACAAGTGAATGGGTACCTGGTTGTTAAACGATTTGGTGGGTCATATTCAAGGGAAAATTAGGGTTCAGGACCTGCCCAAAATGCTATGCAAGCTAATGGCTTTACAAGATGTAAAAACTTGTATATACCGTATAAATATCTGATGCACTAAATGCATAACTGCTAATCAAATATAGGCCAAGAAAATTCTAGATGAGAGAATGTTGCTTTATTTTTATCACTCCATCCCCCAAATAAAATGGGCAAATACACAGGATAAAACCTTACCACCGCAATTCAAAGAAAAATTATGAAAAAAAAAGGAAAAACCATGAAATCCATTCAAGTCCTCACTGCATCTTTTAAAGGCCTGTAAACAGAGTTTACCTGAGAGCCACTAACACTAGTGGCCTCAACAAGGACAGGAAGCCAGCGGGTTGTTGAAGGTCCTCCATATTTGCCATGTGAGTGTGAGAGGAATTGGAAACCAGTCAACACAAAATCCATTAGAACCAAGTGAGATTTAACGGAGGAATTTATCACTGCTAATAAAGAAGAACATCTTAAAAGAATAGTCATTTATAGTACTGTACCAGAAAACTGAAATACTGTATTGACAAATTACAAAAATGCTACCTTACAAACATGTACAGTACCATAAAAAGAAGCCAAGCCGAGAAGACAACATGTTATTGCATTTGGCGTGTACTGTGGCTGCTTGCGTAGAGGAGTTGCGACCTGTGGATGACCTCTTAAATACCCATGGGGTGTGTGCATGCAGCTAGGCGCAATCCGATTCACTCTTTCATACAAATATTTTTATACTATTACAAGAAGGTTATATAAGAACTGCAATTGTAATACTGAATGTATGATTTTATGATTTGCTTCTTGCCTTTCCCAATTAAAAAAACTCAAGTATATCAGAATACATATAATATTCATACCCTCTTGAGATTACATAATGATTTCTTTTACAGAGTATTTTGCAGTAATGATTATATATATATATATATAATGTGTGTGTGTGTATGTTAGTTACCACATAACATGCATAACACCTTTAACCTAAATACTGCTGCAAAACTGTATGATCTCAGTCCTAGGCATTTTTATTTCCAATGAACCTTAGCAAAGTCGTTTCCACTACAACTCTTGCACAACATTCTTGTTTATCTAGCCAACACTTTTGACATTAGTTTCACTTAACTTTCCATTTTGTTCATTGTCATTTATACCATCTTTATTATTCTGTGCGCCAACTTCTGGTTTATTTTTTTTAACATCAATTACCTCATTTATCTTAATTTAGTCGTCGTTGTTCTCAGTTTTATCATTCTGCTTGCTATCATCATAGATTTATAAAGGTTACTTTCTCTCTTTATCCTGCTCCTTATCTTCATCTGTTTAGACATCAATGGCCTTAGCAACTCCGACACCTACGGTAGCTCCAGCCCCTGCTAAGGTAGCTGTTGCAGCTGCACCAATCCCTGCTGCACCAGCTGACTGTAGTACTGCCACCTGTCATCAATATATAGTATATCATAAGAACATGTAAACCCTTTTACATTTCTGCCCCTTACCAATTTTGGGCACTACCAGAATCTTGGGGGTCAAATGCAAATAGCTTAGTGATAATTTACATCCAATGCATACTGCGAAGTTACTATACATTGTAAAGTTTTCAATTTGGTAAAGCTTTTAAGCTTGAGTTTTTTTTTACTTTATGATGGTACAGTATTTTCAAAATGTAATAAAAGCAAAATAACAAAGGCGAGTTAAGGTTAGCCAACATGACGTTGAAAATCATGACTACAGTCATCATTGGAACATTCTGGCATTTTCTTTAAATAACTGTAGGCATCACAAAAATGCTAAAGGGTTAAATAAAATGTCCTTGCTTTTTACAATCATAACACTAGTGAAAATAATAGGAACTACAGATAGATATTGTACTACATATTCAATGTTAATCATATTGACAACACACACAGAGTGGAAGCTGTAAAAATTAAAGTAATATTTGAAAATACACTAAGATATCACCACTCATGACGTAGGAAAAACCTAGGTAAATACTGGTTTTGAAACCGTTATTGATTTATGGAACAAATTACCAGGTAACAATTGACATGGGATTCATAAATGATTTGAAGCAATAGAACCACCCGATACATCCTCAAATACTCACCAAGCTGCCTGCAGCAATTGCTCCACCATTAGCTCTGGCAGCAGAAGACATCATGCTTGCAGCTATGGAGCCACCGGCAATGCCTGCTGATCTAAAGCCGACAGCTGCAAAATAAAGCCTGTACTGTAGTAATGGTAGCAAAGAGTTCCCTGATTAAACTAACTACAAATATATATTACACTTGGTTCTACACGAGAGTAATTAGTGCAGTTATCCAGTCTCCTATACTTAAATAACTTAGTTTGCAAAAAATTACAAGCTAAGCAAATTATCCTCCTCACTCTTTTCTTCCATTAAATAAATAAATACAGTAAATAAATAAATGTTTATTCAGGTAAAGTACTGTACATACATACAAGAGGTTATACAAAAATTGATGGATTTATAGATAGAACTAGTACAAACACTGCCTAAAGCCACTATTACTCAAAGCGTTTCGGGCATTCTTCATTGCTTGATTAAGTGTACATCATTCTGTGTTCATTACTAATACAGTACAGTATAGTGGAACTTCGAGTGACGAGCAACTCCAGTTACGAGCATTTCGAGTAACGAGCGAGCCACTCGCAGAAAATTTGTCCCCATTAACGAGCAAACCACATGGTGCTTCCTAGCGTTCCCACTGGTTCTCGGATGCCTCCGACGACAGTGTTGTTGTTGTTTTGCAAGACGAGCATTTCACATGACGAGCTCGGTGCCGGAACGACTTAAATTCATTAATCGAGGCACCACTGTACTTATAAAATCAAATTATTAATTTATTTAAACTGCACAGTATGAAAAAAAAGGATAACCCAGGGAAACAGAAAATTAGAGCTTATCAAGATCCCCTGTACAGAATACTGTACTGTTCTACAATCTGTCTATTTCAAATTGTTATAAGATGAATGGGATTCATCCTGTAATGATTCAACTGTTATACATCTGTACTCAATACATTTACTGGCATCTTTTGTATGTTTCAGAAGAGTACAATATAGTTTTTTGTGGTAATGCAGTTTTTGTGAATGCGAGTCAATCTAGCTCAAGTAACTTTTCCTTATCTAAACCCCTAAAATTGCCCAATCACCATCGAACCAGCTTCCTCTGACTAGCCAGTATGTATAGTGAGTGATGCTTTGGAAGGTGAATGTGACATTCCTGGGCCCCCTTAATTTAATAGACAAGAGGCATAATGTACTCCATAACATATCAAGTAGGAAGGGACAAAGGAATATACCAAGTTATGCCATCTAAGAGAGTCCACAGCACTGTTTTATATGCAGTCATATTTGTTACATCAATTGTCATTACATAATTCCATGTTATGACACAGCTGTGTGGGTTAGCAGCACCACCAGCAGTTGAGGAATTTGTTGTAATCATGTCCATGCTCGATGAGCTGATTACTATAAATGATAACTCATTTGATTCTGAATATTTTTAATGCATTATTTGAACACAAACTTGACAGCTCTTTCCATAATTCAGTTGCTATGATGCTTTTTAGCCATAACTTATAAGCTAAGACACACAGTAAAAACTATCACTTCAACAAAGCCTGTCTATGGGTGACCAGTACCTATTGCAGGTAATATTAGCCACACAAGGAATGACCCACATCAGTAAACTTTGCAATTACCCAAGTATTTGCTTGTCAAAATTCATTGAGTAGTATTGGTACGATTGTGGTACACCTCATATTTTGCTCACATTTAAGTTAACTGTTTTCAGTGCCAGCAAAAGGATGTTCTTGTACTGGTACAAGTCCCATCATCAAAGACTGGAAGCCTATTAGGTTTATTGAGGTCCACCTTGACCAGCTATTGACCATTCCCAGGATCAACCCATAACAGTTGCCCAACTCCCAAGTACCTATTTACTGTTAGGTGAACAGAAGCATTAGGCGAAAGGAAATGTGCCCAAACATTTCGCTCCCACGTAGGATAGGATCCTCTATTGTGAGTTGAGAATATAGATCACTGTACTACAAGATCCAAAGTGTTGATATAACCACCAGACACACTGGGCTGGTGCATGACCAATATCACATCCACAAACAAACTGACAACCAATAAACAACTGCTTTCACAAGAGTGTACTCATGGATTTAGCCTGATCCAGTTCCCAGCCAGGACAGAAATGATTTGGTCAATCTTTCCTTTCATGCTAGACCTCCGTTCTCCTAGCAGTAAATACGTACCCAGGAGTAAGGTAATTGTGATGGGTTGCATCCTGGGAAAGGTCAGCAGTTAACCTCAGGAGACCTTGTAATAACCTGAAGAAACTCTGCTACCTAGTAATGTATTAAACATTTTGAAAAAGAAAGAAAGGAACTCGTAGAGTGAGGGAGAGTCAGGTGGAAGGGAGAAGTGAGGAAGAGGATGGTCAGGAGAAAGGGAAAGTTTAGAATGAGAGAAAATGGGTTAGAGTAGGTAAGAGGTAGACAGAAAAGGCAGAAGAGTAGAAAGTGCTGCCACCATCCATTCAAGATTTATTTATAAGACAAGGAATGGAACTTCTGTCCAACAATATTATCAGATGTTATCAAGTAGCCACTGTAAGCATATAAATCACAGTCAAGAATTTTCAAGTCATAATATTTAGCAAATAAATTTCAGTGCTCTCCACTCTAACTTTTACTATATCCATGATCTAGGGATCAGAATTAAAGACAATTTAAAAAGTTAATCAATTATTAATTTGTATGTATATATTAAAGAAATATTCACAATCATATGGATATCATAACTCTACTATTTCACTTGATGTTCAAATATCAACATTAATTGAGGCTGAGTCACCACACAACAAATTGAGCAACTACGGCTGACTGCCCATGAAATTCACAATTACTTGAATTGGAAAACACCAAATATAGTCAACCTTACATACTCACTCACCAAGTCTGATTACAAGATGGTTAGCAAGGAGGGGTGATACAGCTGACAGTTTCCCCACTGGCCTCGGGGACAGGCCTGAGTAGACCTAGCAAGGCTCCTCTCTCCCAGTCTGTGTATCTATCTATGATGTACAATTCCATGGGTATTTAAGGGGGGAACCTGGAGGTAAACTCTGCCTACCAGGAGATAGCCTCTGGCTATCTCCTGGTGAAAATCTGGACACCTGTGATAGCTATAGGTACATTGATCAACAAATACTGTTAGCTGAAAGTAACTACTATATTTCCATGTCGACTTTCAAATTTAAAGTTGTCAAAGCGACCGCAAGTTCAATGACATTTTTAATATTCATGAATCGACCTTTTGTCACAAATCAAGTTCGTTTAAGATGACTGAACAAGGTGGTGCTGCCATACTATAGGGACATATCATTGGCAGCATACATAGCAAATCAGTTAATAATAAAAAATACTCAATGAATTGTGAATAGAAAATGAGCAACATGTACCAATAATGTACCAATAATATCCATTTTTTTTTTTAGTTCATTATGCACCCCCATCCATACCCATCTTGTAGCAAAATACAAAAAAGCAATGACACTCAATAAAAATCAAATAAGGGCATTTGAGACAATCAAAATCTTAAATAATGAGGGTGACCTACAGTATAGCAAAATAGCTTGTGTGGTTGGATCTCTATAAATGCCAAGTTTGATTTCTGGGCAAGGTGAGGTGTTCAGGAACATTTTGTGAAAAGGAAAAAAATGTTCAGGAACAGCTTATACCCAACAATGGTAAACCATGTATGTAAATGGAACATACCTGTTAAGGCAACCGATGCAGCAAGCACGGCACCAATACCACCAGCAACAGCAGCTAATCCATACCCCACAATCTTTAAGCCCAAAGGCATCTGCTCCTTAGGAGTGGAAACGCGTCTCTTGTCGGGGTACTTGCTCTTCTTCGAGTACTTGCTGCTGCTGTTATCACTATCACTTTCCTGTTAGAAATAATAGACTTGGGCAAGTTCTTTAACTATTCCAAATTACAAAAAATATACTTAAGTGTGCTTTTTCTGATTTTACCTAATAGAAAATTATTATTAAACACTAAAAGTAAAGGTGACAAAAAGACCACTGTCATGATTAACACGGAACGTAATGAGGATACGTAAAATTATAGAAATAGGTAAAGTTTGTTTTAAAAAGGAGCATTAGAATTACAGCAACAAAACTGAGAAATGTTATAATATTTTATTTATACAATACACTGTATACAACATGTTGGGCATATTAAAGTTGTAATGTAGTAGGTAAAATAATTTATTTATTATATAATAGCATTTCACTAATTATGTACTGTATAGCATTTCAGGCAGTACAGTACTTAAAACTATTTAGTTACTTTAAATTGTTGATTATTAGAACACTTAATACTATATATAATGTAAGCTAACAAGCAACAGCTAATTACCTGTGCATCAGATTCTAAGAGGTCCATAACGAGCCTATTGACAGGCAGGTCTTCCGGTTCAGGTCCTTCATGACGCCTCCTAAAGGGCACAAAACATTAGCTAAAAATTGGATGCTCTTTTACCATTCCCAATAGGACTCCAGTCACACAAAGACAAGTTAATTTGCTAAGGTCAAACATAGTACCGGTAAAAGTAAAATACGTACTGGATTTTTCTTTCAGGGCGATTAGAAAGGTTGCTCTTTCCCTATGCCTTTGAATCATGTCTCATTGAAATCATTGGCAAATCCGATTCTGTTGACATTGTTTGTCATAAAAGAATTTGCTGTAAAGTCTCTTGTGCACCCTCATCTGGACTACAGTATCCAAGCATGGAGACCCCACCTTCAAAATGATGTACTGTATCTCCTTTGGATAAAGTTCAACAAAGAGCAACAAAAATCATCCCAGAACTAAGTCAATTGTTATATCAGGATTGGCTGAGGGCCACAGGACTTACACTGCAAACCAGACATAATAGGGCAGATCCTCAAGACCTTTAAAATACAGTATTGAACAAGTTGGAGCATATTAATTCAGACCATTTCTTTAAAAGACCAAATAATAATATTTTTTTTTAATATAATAATAGTAATAATAATAATTATAATTATTCACAATGGGTTGTGAGATTACGTATAATCGGTATTTGTACATTCATGCAAAGTAACACAGACACACACAGCATTTCAGGCAGTACTTAAACTAACATATCACTTAAGATGAAAAGCTACCTTTTATATCAACAAATAACAAGGTTTTATATCAACCAATAACTACAAATATAAACTGAAAGGTGAATACACTGGTCTTCAAATGTAATGCATACAAGGAACAACAGCTTTAAATTCAAGTTAAAATGTAGAACAGGAAACTGGTGCCTTGTTAAAGGTTTCCCATTGTTCTTAAGAATGTTTTTCCAGCTGAATTTTAAACTTTAGTAATGTCTTGATATTATGTCTTCACTGGGTGGGCAATTCCATGGATTATCATCATATTATATGGGTGAAAAAGCATCTTCTGTTTTCTGTCCTAAAATTGTGACATGTTGAGCTTCAAGTCCCCTTGCATGCATTACAATTGATTTTTTATAGAAATGGTCTGGATTAATATTTTCCAATTTGTTCAGTATTTTAAAGAATCCTCTGAGATCAACCCTGTCCTGGCTGGATTTGCAGTGTTAGTCCTGTGGCCCTCAACCATTCCTTGTATGATAGTTGACTTAGTACTGGAATGACTTTTGTTCCTCTTTGTTGAACTTAATCCAAAGCATACATCCTAAGTGCAGGGTCTTTGTACTTGAAAACAGTAGTTCAGATAAGGGTGTACCAGAAACTTTTACAGTTAAATATCAACTATTTTTTCCGTGAAGTCAAAGGTTCTTTTGATTATTGTTAGCATTTGATTTTTTTTGTTAATGGCAGCTCCTATTTTGTTGAGTAACTTTCAATGACCGGAGGATTGTAATTTCTTTGGTCGTCTTTCATCATCAATTTGCTGCATGATTGTGTTGTTATAACAGTTATTTACCTGAAAGCCACTAACACTAGTGGCCTCAACGAGGACAGAAAGCTGGCAGCTTGTCAAAGGTCTCCCCATTTGCCTTGATCTTTCCCAGGTAGATTTTAAATCCCAACACAGTTTTGGCATTTACAGCTTTGGCAGGTAGGCAGTTCCATAGGTTTATAATCCTGTGGGTTAAAAAGCATCTGTTCTGTCCTACATTGAAGTTTGTTGAGCTTGAAACCATTGGTCCTTGTTTGTGTTACATCTGATCTTTTGAAGAAATTCTGAGGATTGACATCCTCGAACTTTTTCAGTATTTTAAAAGTTTCAATGACATCCGCCATGTCATGCCTGGCATGGTTGTTGTTTCTGATACGAGATGACTTGGCCCTGCAATGACTTTAGTTGCCCGGTGTTGCACTTTCTCCAGAGCAGCTATATCCTTCTGAAAGTGAGGTCTCTATGCTTGGATACAGTAATGCAAATGGGGGCACACCAGAGATTTACACAGTTGAATCACTACCTTTTTTTCCTTAAAGTCAAAGGTACGCTTGATTATTCCGAGGGTTTGGTTAGCTTTTCTGACTGCTGCTCCTACCTGTTGTGCAACTTTCAGTGAGTGGTGGATTTTGACTCCCAGGTCCTTTTCTTCATCAATCTGCTGTAATGGAATGTTATTAATTTAGTAGTTGTGGCATGGGTTGTTATGCCTCACATGCAAGGTCTTGCATTTATTGATATTAAAAAGCATTTGCCAGTCTTCTGACCATTTGTGGAGTTCAGGTAGATCTCTTTGTAAGGCTTCAATATCATTTCCCACTTTACCATAAATCTTTGTCATCTGCAAATTTGATGATGTGGTTTGTAATATTCTCAGCTATGTCATTAATATAAATGACAAAAAGGTTGGCTCCAAAATGGACCCCTGAGGTTACCACAGTTCTCCATACAGATTCATTCCCATTTAGCACGACCCTTTGTTTTCTTGGTTTCAACAATTGTTTTATCCATTCTAGTATTTTCCCTGTTTATTCCATGGGCCTGTAATCTCCTTGCAGTCTTTCATGTACCTAATCAAAGGCTTTAGCAAAATCCATGTATTACATCCATTGGAAGGCCTTCGTCTGAGTAGCTGATGACCTTTTCCAAAACCGTGAGCAGGTTTGTAAGGCAGGATCTATTTTTAACAAACCCATGTTGTGTTGATTGTACAAGACTGTTCACTGAAAGATGGTGAATGATTCCCTCCCAGAGAATTCTCTCCATAAGCTTGCAGGTGTGTGATGTCAAACTGTTCGGCAAACTCAATGTCTCAATATAATTTTTGCTTCTTACTTTACCATAGATCTCGATGTCTCCAAATTTGAGGATGTGGGTTGTAATAATGTATGTCATATAGTTTTCTGCTGAGCTCTTTCTGCCTTTTTTTTATAAATAGGGGTGACATTTGCATATTTCCATTCAAGGGGAGACTATCCCTTGGTCCAGAGTATTTATTTATAACCCTGTGGGTGAAAAAGCATCTGTTTTCAGTCCTACAGTTATGATATTCTTATTTCTCTGCATGCAGGTCTTGCATTTTCAATATTTACAACTATTTGCCAGTGTTCTGCCCATTTATGGGTATATTTAGTTTTCTTTGCAATGTCTCAATATAATTTTTGCTTCTTACTTTACCATAGATCTCGATATCTCCAAATTTGAGGATGTGGGTTGTAATAATGTATGTCATTGATACACACGATAAATGTTTGGGCCTTAATATGGAACCAGGTTCATTTCCATTTAGGACAGCCCTGTGCTTTCTTTGACAACCATTTTTTTACACATTCTAGTATTAACAATTTATTTAATGTGTTTGGACTTTCCTTGCCAAGAGAAGCCTTCATCAGTGCTTTACATCAGTGTGAACACTATGTGAAGTATTTATTCAGGGCTGCCTTTTTATTAATTATAACTCAGTAGCTCTCATGTTTCAAGGGACCTTTGTCTTTTTCTTCTATACTGTATAAGTATAAAAATACTTGGGATTTTTATTAATATTTTAAGCAAGCTTTCTTTCACAAATTCTTTAAATGCCCAGATCAGTTGAAACCTTACTGCAGAATATTGCATAATCCATATGAGGATCATAAATACAAAATTTGTCTCATGTCTTTCAGGATGCCAACATGAGAGCAGAATTATATCTAGGAACATTAGAATATGCTGTAACACAGACAGTGAAATGTAGCCTTTCTGGCATGGTGCTTTGTTGAGTGACTTTGGTGGGGGGAAAGGCTAGATTATAGAAAACAATTATATAAAAACAGCCCTAATGAGTAATTATTTAATTCCTCAGTTCCCTTATAAACTCTAGATGTTACTGTATATAACCACAGCTGTAAAGCCTGTAGGCAGACCACCTTTATCATAGTGATTGTTTTATAATCCTTATATTATGTATACCACAAGACCTACATCCCAGGATATAAATAATTTATGTTGTTGGGAGCAGCAAGCATGTGCAGTATTTAGTCTTATCAATGCCCTAGGCCAACTTCTAACCTTTCCCAGAATACAACCCACAATTGTCTAACTCCCTGGTATCTATTTACTGCTAGGTAAACAGAGGCATCAAGTGAAAGGAAACATGTCCAACATTTCTGTATTTCTGGATCCTCTTGTGAGAGTTTGGTCCAATTGTAAGCCGAGGATGTAGACCACTGTGCTCCAAGGCCCATGGGCTTTCCACATTTTCCCCTCAGAAAAGTAATGCCATTTTGAACCTCATTAGACTGTATATGGAATATACATTCTGTATATAGAAACAGACAAAGATTTGTTCCTTACCTGCAGAGCGGGCAATTTATGGCATGTGTGAGATTACGGATCTTAACAAGACACCGTCTGCAGAACGTATGGCCACAGGCAGGAAGGGCAACGGGAACACGACGATACGCGTCAAACCGGTTCTCGCACACCTGACAGTTCCTCCAAGCATTACCTGCCATTTTGGCCTGTAAGGCAAATTATGAGTTACCAACCAATGCCTTTTAGACACCTTTATTACATTTCACTTCAATTGTATCATTCATACACAATCTGAAAAGTAAATGTAATTATAAATATAATTGTATAATTATAAATGTAATTATAAAATGGCCTTTATAATTATACAATTACATTTGAAATTACTGCACAGTATGATTACATTTGCAATTATACTATTATATTTGTAATTATACAATTACATTTATAAAAGTGAAGGAAATACTCAAACTGGGATAAGTTTAAAGTGTAGATAACAGGGCAATCACAGATATAGTGTTGGAGAGTATGTCCCAGCTCTTGTTCAAATAGTTTACAACTGGAATGTTCACCATTGGGGGGATTCATTACCTGCAGCCACTTGCCATAGATATCAAGATTCCAGCCCAATTCTGGCAATCACACTGTCTAATAAATGCTTAGCATTTTATTTGGCTTTACCAAAAATGCACTATTGTATATTTTTGCTGTTATTACTATTATTTAATATATATCTGTACTGTTGCTAAAACTACAGATTATATAATGTAGTAGTCTTTGCCTGTCATCATTATCACTTTGATATTGTACTCACTTAGTTCTGCTTGCGGGGGTTGAGCTCTGGCTCTTTGGGCCCACTTTTCAACTGTCAGTCAACTGATTCCCCCCCCCCCCCCCAGGAAGCTTGTAGCAGCTGTCTGACTCCCAGGTACCTAATTTACTGCTACATGAACAGAGTCATCAGGGTGAAAGAAACTGCCCATTTGTTTCCGCATGAGCTGGGGATCGAACCCGGACGCTTAGGACTACGAATCCCGAGTGCTCTCCACTCAGCCGTAAGGCCTAACCGGGCAGTTTTTGTATCATTACTAAATTTCTTCAACATCTTACGCATTTCTTCGTCTTTGCGATAAGTGCAGTTTAAATGAAGTTCTTTGCCTACTTCTCGTTTTGTACTAAATTTACCCTACTATACATACAAAAAATTTAAGAAAATTATTCAAAGTTTTGAGGGTCCGTCTAATTACCCAAAACTACCCAAACTTACTCAAAGCTACACAAAGCTTCCTAGCATTACATTAGTAATGAATAAATATGATATTTATTCATTATAATGTTGGTGCTGAATGTAGAACATGAAAAACTTTTACTGAAAAAGTATGATTTTATAATGAAATTAAGACAAAAATAAGAAGCTGGTGACGCCAAAGCAAGTCGACGGTCCAAACGACAATGTTTGCTGGCATATGTAGTGGGTTAGTGTGGTAGTGGGTTAGTATGTTAGTGAGTTTAGTGGGTTAGTATGTTAGTGGGTTTAGTGCATTAGTGGCATATGAGCCTCCTGTACCTACCTAATCTAACCAACCTAACCTAACCTCTAAGCAACAATATACAGTATCTTGAATAATTTGCTTATCTTGGATAAGTCGCTCCACAACATTGTCGCTTGGATCGTAGACTTCCTATAGACTCTCATACCATTTAGTTTTGTCTAATTTCGTTATAAAATTATATTTTAGAGTAAAAAATATATTTTTTCATGTTCTACATTCAACACCAACAATATATTGAGTAAATGTATCATATTAATTCATTACTTACGTAACGCTAGGAAGCTTTGGGTAATTAGACAGACCTACAATCCTGTTTAGAACCTGTACTTTAGGTCGATCTCGAACCCATTGTTGATGTGACGACTTATATTGAATTTTGTAACTAGCTCATCAAGATTGTAACTTGCTTAGCAAAATGAATTATGGGGTTCAGTCCCGGAGCCCATTATGTGCCTCTGTAACCCTTTCCACTACCACCCACAAGATGGGTATGGGGTGCATGATAAATGAACTAAACTAACTCAGTACCTTCAACTATACCTCTGTATTATGTTCTTATATATGCAGATTTTATAAGTATAATAAATAATCGTAGTAAATTTACATGCTGATGAGGAAATAAAAACTTAAAATTATATACGAGACGGTAAATATCGTTGACCGAAGAGGACAGCTGCCGCACGTCCACGTCCCCCCACTCCGGTCCATAGAATTACCCAAATCGGCCCAAAACTACACAAATCGTCCTAGCATTACGTACGTAATGAAGAAATATGGTATATTTACTTACTATAATGTTGATGCTACACGTAGAACATGATCAAACCTATTTTTACTCTGAAATAATCTAATTTCATAACGAAATGAGACGTAAATATGTGAGAGGTGACGCCATAGGAAGTCGACGGTCCAAGCGACAATTGTGTGGAGCGACTTATCCAAGATATATGGTCGCCTGGAGAGTGTTTGCTGCCATATCAGCCTCCTGTACACAGTGATCCAGTCGTCGCATTTCATGGCTCAAATTGTCGCAAATTTAATTGGTGATATTAAGAAGTAGAATGTGTATTTATATAATATCTTTCATAAACAGCCACTAAATCTTTAATATTTATTAAACAAAACGTGTCTGGAAGTTAAATCAACTCCACAGGACAATAAATTTGTTATATAGATACTAGCGTTATTCGTTGGTATGCGTTCGCAATTTAAACTGCTCATGTCCTTTTCGTTCATTGAACACCGAACCCTACACAACCATGCACAACTCAAAGTCCAACAAGTCACACCCCCGGAGTAATGCAATCGGAACCTGACAAGTTGTGTAACCGGAGCCCGACCAGTTGTGTAACCGAAGCTTGACCAGTTGTGTAACCGGAGCCCGACCAGTTGTCTAACTGCAAGCCTAACATGAACGAACCAAACAAACAACCTCTGGATCACAACCATGCACGAACGGAAGCCCGACCATGCACAACCCAAAACTCAGGTGACACCCCCGGAGCCCGACCAGTTACTTAACCGGAGCCCGACCAGTTATTTAACCGGAGCCCGACCAGTTATTAACCGGAGCCCGACCAGTTGTGTAACCTGAGCCCCACTAGTTGTGTAACCGGACCCCGACCAGTTGTGTAACCTTAAGCCTAGCAAGTATACATCTCATCCAACCCCCACAAAGCTAAACAGTCCCAGCTGAACACAACCAAACTCCATTCCTAGCTCGACCAAACAAAAATCTGCTTAGCCCTACCAAAAATCCTCCACTTGCCCTGGACACCAACTATTGACCCATAGCAAACAATTGAACTATATACAAAAGAAAGAAACCCGGATTTCTAGCAAACATATAAACAGAGCCTTAGCAAACAAACCTGGAGCACTAGTGCACAAACAACCTCTGGATCACAACCATGCACGGACGGAAGCCCGACCATGCACAACCCATAGCCCAAGGGACACCCCCGGAGCCCGACCAGTTATTTAACCGGAGCCCGACCAGTTATTTAACCGGAGCCCGACCAGTTATTTAACCGGAGCCCGACCAGTTATTAACCGGAGCCCGACCAGTTGTGTAACCTGAGCCCCACCAGTTGTGTAACCGGACCCCGACCAGTTGTGTAACCTTAAGCCTAGCAAGTATACATCTCATCCAACCCCCACCATTAAGCTAAACAGTCCCAGAGCACAACCAAACTCCATTTCTAGCTCGACCAAACAAAAATCTCCTTAGCCTTACATAAAACCCTCCACTTGTCCTAGAAACCAACTATGGAGCCATATCAAACAATTGAACTATATAAAAAAAAAAGAAACCCAGAGCAATATAAGCAGCGGTGTAGCGAACATTGGCTAGTCTACTTTCAAGTGTGGTCTAGAGCAGACACTTGCGAGATACTGTACCAACGCTCAGTGCGCTCAACTCACACCAACGTATCACCTGTGTACTTCTGTATATTCGACCAAATATATATATAGTATCTTAGTGTCTGTGTTTATTTGTCACCGTACTTTACGTAACAATAGAACCGTTACATTGGTGACCCCAGAGAGTTTCGACGATACCCAGCCACGATGGACTACAACATATGGACTCTCACTGGACCTCCACTGCTGCTGCTTGCTGTGGACCGCAGCCACCTGTCATGGAACGTTGCCAACACCCTTGCCATAGCTATGATTTTCATCGCGATCGTCTCTGCATTTTCATCTACTACGGCTTGCTGCTCCACGATCACTACTCACTCATCTGGCAGCTTCATCAGTAACTACATAATGTGTGATCTACAGCCTGTCCTGCCGACTCTCCGTCGCTGCCAGGGCACTGCTTGTTCTACAGGGGCGCCCACGAAAGCTGCTCTTTCGTCAGATTCATCTACACGTTCACTGCATTCTGATACTCTGCCGACTCAAGCACTTTGCGCAGTACAGGACTTACAGCTTGCGTTTCCGACTCTTCGTCGCCTCCAGGACAATTCAGCTCTAGCAGTGATTACCTCGTTGTCCTAACTACGTGCCTACATTACCTCCTAATGTCCTGGTGCCCGAGCCCATCCGCCCCGGATCTAAATGCTCCACCAGCGACCCAAGGACGCAACAATTATGCACATTCTTCTCTCCTGCTACACCGAGCTTGTCCACACACTGCCTACATCTTTTGGTACCAGACTACAATTTCCACAGTCAACAATGTAGTACTCGGCGTGTACAGTCCTAATCAACCCAAGACGCTACAGCTTCGACACAGAGCAGACAGCAGACTACGACCGCATCGAGCCGCCACGCTCTCGCTCCCCGAGTTTAGACACTCACAAATCTCAATCGAGCCGCCACGCTCTCCCACATAGAGCTCCACGACTCCGGCCTCACTCAGCTCTCTGCTCTGCTCCAGGCTTCGTCTCAACGTCTGCGACACTGCTAAATCCAGAGACACATCCGCCGACTACGCAGTTCACTTTTCGACCCCAATTACCAGCCGCACCACAACCTGATCCTACGACGACGGACGATCCTGTGCGACCTCCCACCCTACGACCCCAGTTAGATGACATCAGCGAAGAGGAGGAAGTTAACTTTGATGGTTATGTAACGCGAGCAGGGCGTACAATTCACCGACCAGCTAAGTTCCTTGATCAAGTATTTTTCCTTTCATCCCCTGGGAGGGGGAGTTCTGTAGCGAGTAGATTATCCCAATAATATACTCGCTCCAAATATAGTGTTAATATTCCTGTCAACCTTTGGAGATGAATGAGGTGAGGCGTTGCCCGGGCAACACGGTGAGGTGTTGCCCGAGCAATATAAGCAGCGGTGTAGCGAACATTGGCTAGTCTACTTTCAAGTGTGGTCTAGAGCAGACACTTGCGAGATACTGTACCAACGCTCAGTGCGCTCAACTCACACCAACGTATCACCTGTGTACTTCTGTATATTCGACCAAATATATATATAGTATCTTAGTGTCTGTGTTTATTTGTCACCATACTTTACGTAACAATAGAACCGTTACACAACCATGCACGAACGGAAGCCCGACCATGCACAACCCATAGCCCAAGTGACACCCCCGGAGCCCGACCAGTTATTTAACCGGAGCCCGACCAGTTATTTAACCGGAGCCCGACCAGTTGTGTAACCGAAGCCCGACCAGTTGTGTAACCGAAGCTTGACCAGTTGTGTAACCAGACCCCGACCAGTTGTGTAACCGTAAGCCTAGCAAGTATACATCTCATCCAACCCCCATAAAGCTAAACAGTCCCAGAGCACAACCAAACTCCATTCCTAGCTCGACCAAACAAAATTCTTAGCGCTACCTAAAACCCTCCACTTGCTCTAGAAACCAACTATGGAGCCATATCAAACAATTGAACTATATACAAAAAAAAGAAACCCGAATTTCTAGCAAACATATAAACATAAAGCCCTAGCAAAAAACCTAGAGCACTAGTACACAAACAACCACTGAAGCACAACCATGTACGAACCGGAGCACAACCATGCACAACCCAAAGCCCAACAAGTCACACCCCTGGAGTTATGTAATCGGAACCCGACCAGTTGTGTATCCAGAGCCCTGGAATACAGCTGGAAAGGATCATCAGGTCAAATAGGGTACCTTTGACAAGCCGCCGGCTTACTGCCCTCATCGAGGCCACTAGTGTTAGTGGCCCTCAGGTAAATTCAGTTCCCGGAGGGGTGTCCCCGCTCCTTCCTGTTGGGAAGTTGTTCATCAATTGCAGTATCATACTATCATGCAAGAGGAGCCACACATCTATGGTTCATCCAGTAATATCAGCGGACTTCTAGATGTTACTATACTGCTCGGCTTAGACTCGGTTACAAGTATCTCTGGGAATTCTCATTATCTGCTGATGTAGATCTGACCAAATGTAAACTGTATCAAGATTGTAACTTGCTTAGCTTCAGTCCCTGAGCCCATTATGTGCCTCTGTAACCCTTTCTACTACCACCCACAAGATGGGTATGGGGTGCATAATAAATGAACTAAACTAAACTATTGCAGTATTTGTACATTGAACTGTCGCTTGTCAGTAAACTTAGTTGTTAACTATTAACTTCATGAAATAATATTACCTTATACGCGAGAATAATTCTGAATACACAGCGAGAAAATTGATGAATGAGGCTTTGGGTCAGGCGGCGGCGTAGGGGAGCCTGGCCTGAGGACAGGCAACTGTAAATGCTTCTCCCTCCACATACTTCAAGTGAAAATAATTGCCAACAGAACCTAAATACCGAACCTACTATACGCCTAATTAATTATAGAATATAAAATTAATTTATACACGATAAAAACTTTTTAATACACAGTACATGAAAGTCGATAATAAATGCGTCTTGGGATGTGGGGGAGACGACCGCCGCGTTAACGAGCCTAGCCTGACGACGGGGTAGTTTAACACTGGGGAAGTGTATTCTACATAATATCCTACCCATATAATGTTGGCAAATCATGATCCTCAAAAATCTTCCACAATATCCGAGAGACGACAGACTATTTAGCATTAGTGGAATACAAACATTTGAATACTACACAACCCGGATAAAAAAAAAAATAGGGAAACAATGACCCTCGGAGACATTACAAAACTCAATGCTATAATAGCGAACAAATGTATAATGCATTAAGCATTGTAGGTGGAGGTAGACTATATATTCATGCATACCTCCCAACTGCTCAGATATATTTGAAAAAAAAAAAAAAATGATCAGCCTTACCTACACGGGACCGACGATGCTCACGCCACGGCTGCTTCCTGACGACTGACCGGGTCGGCGTCGATGACCCCGTAGCGACCAACCGACCCAGAGACTCCCTGCCTAAAATTATTTGAACAACGTATTGAAATTCCTAGCGTATAGCGCCAGGAATGTGTAAATTAATATTTATATGCATTATAGGCCTTTCTAAAGTAATTTATAGATCTGAATATCATATATTGTCTAACAAACGAATTATTTAAGTTAAGATTTTAATTATGCCAGATACAATTAAGTCTCATCGCACACAAGAAGATTCGTCGGCGGATTTTTTTTTTATTTATATATAAAAAAGAGTTTTTAAATTCTTGTAAAGCCAGTTTTTAAATTCTTGTAAAGCCACTATAGCATGCATAGCGTTTCGGGTAGGTCCTTAATCCTAATGTTTATCCCGGAGTATGACCCGCCAAATCGTTTAACAACCTATTCTCTGTCGGGTGAACAGTTAAGGATTGTCGTCCGGTCAGTCCTTCCCAGCCAGGATCAAAAAGCTGGCGAAGAGCCGGGCACGTGCTTTACCACTGCGCCACAGAGACTGTTCCGTGGCGTAGTGGAATTTTGAATTTTGAAACCTGACTAACATAGCTCAACCCAACCTAACGTAGCCCACATCAAACCAATCTAATCCAACCGAGCCCAATGAAGCCTAACTTTAATAACATAGCCTAATACAGCCCAGCATAACAATACATCCAGATTTAAAACAGAAAATGAGTTTAGTCGAATCACCTCGTGTCCACGTGTAACCAAAACCCGACCAGTTGTGTACCTATACTGACCTAGCAAACAAACACCTGCAGACGAGGAGTCACAATAACGTGGCTGAAATATGTTGACCAAACCACACACTAGAAAGTGAAGGGACGACGACGTTTCGGTCCGTTCTGGACCATTCTCAAGTCGATTGTGAGAATGTACAATTGACTCGAGAATGGTCCAGGACGGACCGAAACGTCGTCGTCCCTTCACTTTCTAGTGTGTGGTTTGGTCAACAAATACCTCACATAACCAGACAAACACCCTCCTAACTCTATCAAGCACACTGAGAGCCGTACCAAAGTAGGGAGGGTCCACAGACGAGAACGTGGTTGTAAGTATAGGTCCACAGACATGGGAACCAGTGCCCATCATCTGGGTTGGAGGGCAACAGTGCATTGCTTTGCTTAGAGAGTATAATGCTGCTAACACAGCCCTGCCTTCAATATGCAAACTTTTCAGGATTATTTAATTAGCTAAGATTTACCTGAATTTACAATAGGCTGACTGAGTATACTAAGATTCAGGTTTACAGAGCCTGTGTCCTGAGCAATCTCCTTTATGGCAGTGAGTCTTGGACACTCCGCGCCCGTCAGGAAAGACAGCTGAATGCCTACCACATGCGCTGCCTTCGACACATCTTGGACATCACCTGACAGGACAAGGTGACAAACAACAACGTCTTGGGGAGAGCAAGAATCAACAGCATGTACACAATGCTGAAACAGACGAATGCGCTGGCTCGGGCACGTTGTGCGAATGGGCGACGGCAGGATCCCCAAGGATCTCCTGTACGGAGAGCTGATGCAGGGAAAGCGTCCAACATGAAGCCCCAGCTGCGGTACAAAGACGTATGCAAGAGGGACCTGAAAGCCATGGACGTCGATCTTATATATATATATGATACCTGGTTGATGGGGTTCCTAGGGATTTCTTCTACTCCCCAAGTCCGGCCCGAGGCTAGGCTTGACTTGTGAGAGTTTGGTCCACCAGGCTGTTGCTCGAATTTTTGTTCACTACCTTTTGCCCGCAGGCCCACATACCCTGGTTTCCACAGCCCGGTTGGTCCGGCACTCCTTGAAGGAAACAAGCACACATTTAATTTGTATCTAGTTCTTTATTGTTAACTTACATAATCAAAGAACCTTGCAACATCTACATTCGAGGAAGGATTCCAGAAGCAGTTAACAACTGCCATTTCTTGTTTCTGGAATTCTTCTTTATGCTGTAGGTAAAGTAGTTAATAGAACTACTGTCTCCTGCTCCTGGGGTTGGTGGTTCTACTTGTGACTACTTGTGCCCAGGGTGAATGTGCAGGTCAGTAGTTCGACCTTGGAGGTGGACCTCGATATACACCTAACGAATAGACATGTACAAGCTGCCTGTCCTCAGTGTATATTTTACACACACACACACGTGAGTGCGTGATTATGCGAAACTGGCTAACATCAGAACAGCCTTCAGGAACCTGTGTAAGGAATCATTCAGAACCTTCTATACCACATATGTAAGACCAATCCTGGAGTATGTAAATACTCCAGGACTCCCAGCATGGAGTCCGTACCTTGTCAAGCACAAGGCGAAGCTTGAAAAAGTTCAGAGATATGGCACTAGGCTAGTCCCAGAACTAAGAGGCATGAGTTACGAAGAAAGGCTGCGAGAAAAGCACCTCACGACACTAGAAGGCAGAAGAGTATGGGAGACATGATCACTACCTACAAAATTCTCAGAGGAATTGACAAGGTAGATAAAGATAAACTGTTTAACACGGGTGGTACGCAAACAAGGGGACACAGGTGGAAACTGAGTACCCAAATGAGCCAGAGGGACGTTAGAAAGAACTTTTTCAGTGTCAAAATAGTTAACAGATGTAATGCATTAGGCAGTAATGTGGTGGAGGCTGACTCCATACACAGTTTCAAATGTAGATATGATAGAGCCCAGTAGGCTCAGGAATCTGTACATCAGTTGATTGACAGTTGAGAGGCGGGACCAAAGAGCCAGAGCTTAACCCCCCAAGCACAATTAGGTGAGTACACACACACACTCACTCTCTCCCTCTCATAAGAGAGGTGGTGGCCGAGTGCACAGCGCTCTAGACTCGTAGACCTAGGGAGTAAATGTTACTCCTACTGCTATGTAACAAGATTTTGTTGGTACATTTTCATGTAAATTCACAACTCTTCGCGCCGGAAACAAGTCATGAGAGAGCCACACAATAATTTTCGGATCTAACCTTCATTCTTTCTCAATGTGTTGTATACAATGAAATGATTATACATTGCTCTGTTGTGAACATTGTATACAGTACCTCAAGATATACATCCCACAACAGTTAACTAGCTCCCAGATACCTAATTAATTCCCTACTCTCTGTAAATGTTAATGTGATGTCACCGAGCAGTAAATAGGTACCTGGAAATTAGACAGCTGCTACGGGTTGCTTCCTGATGTGTGTGTACTCACCTATTTGTGCTTGCGGGGGTTGAGCTTTGGCTCTTTGGTCCCGCCTCTCAACTGTCAATCAACTGGTGTACAGATTCCTGAGCCTACTGGGCTCTATCACATCTACATTTAAAACTGTGTATGGAGTTAGCCTCCACCACATCACTGCCTATTGCATTCCATCCGTTAACTGCTCTGACACTGAAAAAGTTCCTTTTAACGTCTCTGTGGCTCATGTGGGTACTCAGTTTCCACCTGTGTCCCCTTGTTCGCGTCTCACCAGTGTTGAATAGTTTATCCTTGTTTACCCGGTCGATTGTTTGTGTGTGTGTGTGTGTGTGTGTGTTTGTGTGCCAGAGAAAAAAAATTAGTTAGTCAGTAGTTAGTAATAGTTGATTGTTTGTGTGTGTGTGTGTGTGTGTGTGTGTGTGTGTGTGTGTGTGTGTTTGTGTTGAGTTAGTCAGTAGTTAGTAATAGTTGAGAGGCGGGCCGAATGAGCAGAGCTCAACCCGCGCCTGCACAACTAGGTGAATACTCTCTCACACTCACTCTCTCTCTCACATATAACACCCATATATGTTGTATGTGGATGCTGAAGTTCAGTCTCTTGTCAATGTATAGGTCAAGGAACTTTCCATAATCATTATTGCTAATGTTAACATTGTCTATCTGAAGTTGAATTTGGTTTCAGGATTTACTTCCGAACAAAAACAGTAGTCGGTCTTTTTTATGTTTAATGTGAGTTTGTTAGTTTACATCCATGAGTGGACTTTTTAAATCTGTTATTTTCATTATTATATAGTGCGTTTGGGTTGGGGTCTGAATAGATGAAGGTAGCATCGTCAGCACTTATGTTTACACTTATTGGAAGTATCTAAGTATCAAGTAAAGTATCTTCACACTTGACTTAAATTTTAGTAGCTATTTTCTGGACCATTCCTCAAGTTTCGGAGGTCAACGAAGATGGAATTCACATGAAATGGATTATGTTACCATCACTAATAATGTGTTTTTTCTGTCTAGCTTCAGACACGGTCATGTTACAATTGTGTCTTAGAGAGTTGCGCGCAATTAAGGATGATAGAAATCACTTACAATTAATGCAGGATGGTAGAAAATCACTTACAATTAATGCATCAAGTTTGGAGACTTGAATTGAAATTGAAATTGAAATAAGTTTATTAAGGTAAAATCCACACAAAGGGATGAGGTAGCTCAAGCTATTCTCACCCCGTTCAGTACATCGTGTTAATGCATACATAGACACACACACTTGTACACATTTTAGTGTAACAAGCAAGGCAAATAGTTCTGTCTGATGGGTAGAGGCAACTGCACTTGCAGCTGCAACCGTGTGGCGGTGTAGGAAACCATCAATGTATATGATTTGAGAGAGAGAGAATGATCTGTGGACAGAGCATCAATATGGCGTAAGGTATTGGGCTTTGCCTCAAGATGAAGCATAATAAAGAACCCGATTGGATTGAACAAAATTGGATTATCAGGAGAAAAAATTACATTAAAAACTGTCCACATGATACATATATATAATCACGTTTTAAACATTTCAATTGTATTATTTGCATATATATATAATTAGGAAGTAATGTTTATCTGGGTAAGTTGTCAGCTTTTATAAACTAATAGCTAGTGCAGCTTGTATATGGGTACATCCGGTCTCTTACCCTCGACTGCGGCGGTAACTTTATGGTCAGGAAGCCACAAATATTTACAGTTCAAGTTCAAGTATGTTTATTGTGACATATTTATCATTGGCAGACAACTCACAAAATTTGGTAATAAATTGACAAAACTTTAAGACTGGATTGAACCGAAATGTTTAAAGTATGGAAAGGATCCAATTCCATTGATTCCATTCTGTTGAAGTTTTGCCAAAGAGAACCAATAGAGTTTTGACACCTTTAAATTTTAAGGAATCAATAAACAATCAGTACATAATGACAAAATTCCATTAGTTTTTTGTTTATATATTTATATATATACAAGAGTTCTTACATTCTTGTACAGCCACTAGCACGCATAGTGTTTTGGGCAAGTCCTTAATCCTATGTTCCCTGGAATACGACTGGATGAAGTGTCTTGCTGTCCGGATACCAGTATACAGTACATGTATTTGGGCACTTTTCCAGCACCTTATAAACAGACAGTAAATATATGTAATTAAGTGTTTTTCCTAACCGAAACTTTTGCGTAATAGTGGCTTTAGGCATTGTATGTACCAGCTCTATCTATAAATTCATCAAAATCTGTATCACCCCTTGTATGAATGTACTTTACCTAAATAAACATTTGAATTTTGAATTTTCAGTTGTACAGTACCTACAAAAAATGACTAATGTTAATTTCTATACATCTCATGGCAAACATAACATTGGTATCTTTATAAATGTATTATTTCAATTTTGAAATCCTATTGTTACATCAATGACATACGTTATACCTAATAGATATACAATGGGAAACATCTCAAAGGAAAGGCTGCCTAAGACATGATGGACTACATCACCCTGTAGTGCAAGGAGGCAGCAGACAACTTTGCCCCAGTGAAAAAGGAAAAAATTCAAAATGCAAATGAAGCCATGACATAGCAAATAAGGCAAACACAACCCAAATTGCTTCACAGCCACATCAGAAGGAAACATTAATGAACAGATAATGAAACTGAGGATAGGGGCAGACAGATTCATTACGAATGACAAGGAAGTGTGTAAGGAACTCAAAAAGAAATTCCAGGCCTTCACAATAGAGCAAGAAGGTCCTAAATTAAGAGACTATCTAACCAAGCACCACTGGAAGAGATTGAGATTGCCAGTGGGGTGGTAAGGAAGCATTTGTTTGAATTGGATTTGGTCCAAGTCCAAGATAAAATCTCACCTTGGATACTAAAAGAAGATGCAGAAGCACTGTGCCTACCACTTTCAATGGTGTATAACAAGTCATTGGTAACAGGAGAACTACCAAGAATTTGGATGACAGCTAATGTAGTCTCGATATACAAGGGAGACAGACAGGTGGCACTGAACTACAGGCCCGTGTCCCTGACTTGCATACCATGCAAGGTGATGGAGAAGTGTGCAAAAAAAAAAAAAAAAACTATTAGAACATCTGGAGAGAGAGAATTTTGTTATTTTGAGGGAAAAAAGCAAGTTCGTACTCACGAAACTCGTCCTTACTTGCTTATAGTAAAGCTATGCACTTTAAACCAGGGATGTAGAACCAAACTGCATTTATAAAAACTTTAAACACAAGAGTGACCACATGGAGCCGGTACCATAGTTTTGCATTGGCGGGACTCTAAGAAGCAACCAAATTGTGTGCATTAGATTTATTTAAACACAGGAAAAGGGATAATACACTAACAAGGAATAATTAATCGCCCAATTAACGATTTCAGTCCCAGACACTCGGATATAAATGGAGGTCAATAACCTCACACAGTGAGGTGGGTACCTCATGAGCACACACACCACACAACCCTGTGTGTGTGTGTGGAGTCTCGGCCCTCTCTCTCTCATTGAGTGCAGGGACGGTCCTTGCACGAAGACATGCGGGAAAAAATTTATACACAGAATCACACTCATTTACTAATATATACTCTCAAACACAAATGATATCAAATTAACACAAATAAAACAAACTGGTATTTTAACTAGGAGAAACATTTACATTAAGAACCACAAATGATAAATTTATATACCAGTCATTACATTCAGAGTGAGCCATTTTTACTTTTTTCCTCATCATCCTTCTTATCTTCCTCATCATCCGTCTTTTCTTCCTCATCATCCTTCTCATCTTCCTCATCCTTCTTGTTCTTATCCATCTCATTTTCCTCATCCTTCTTATTGTCTTCCCCACCTTTATTCTCAGAGTTCTCATTCTTTTTCTCATCGTTAGTTTTTCCACCAAACATACTGAAGACCTTAGCAAACCCAGCACCAATGGCAGCTCCAGAACCAGCTAAACCGGCTGTTGTAGATGCAGCAAAGCCTGCAGCACCAGCTGACTGTAGTACCGCCACCTGTTACCAACAAATATCAGACATTCAATCCATATGAGCTTGTCAGCATATACATAAATGTTTACAATCATAACAACCTCTATAACATGTGAAAGGTTTAAGAACCAGGGCTCAATATGCATAACTGTAGTCCTAAACTGGTGTGCAGGCCTAGTACTCTGGTGTAGGCCTAGTATTGAACTAGTTTGTGGGCCTAGTTTGAACTAGTTTGTGTATGTATGTAAATATGTATGCATATATAAGATTAGTTACTTTCAGGGGACAAGGATTTCTATATACAGTATTTACATATTATCATAGACATTTGTCATCATGCACCATTATTATGAGTCATTATACACAACCACTATTATACACTTTCATACACCACTTATTTATTATAAAGCTATCATACACTGCCATTATACATCACTATGGTATTATTACAATGCCATCATACACTACTATTATTATACTGTCATCATACACTGCTATTATTATACTGCTATCATACACCACTATTAGTAATCATACACCACTATTATTATACTGCCATTATATGACACTATTATCCTAAAGCCATCATTATATACAACTACCATATGCCACTTTGACCAAAAGACACTACTCACAATATTGTGTGTAGTATTATCATATAGCCACTATACACCACTATTATCATATAGCCACCATACACCATTATCATATAGCAACAATACACCAATATTATCATATAGCCACCATACACCACCATTATCATATAGCCACCATACACCACCATTATCATATAGCCACCATACACCACCATTATCATATAGCCACCATACACCACTATTATCATATAGCAACCATACACCACCATTATCATATAGCCACCATACACCACCATTATCATATAGCCACAATACACCACTATTATCATATAGCCACCATATACTACTTGTATCATACAGCCACCATACACCACCATTATCATATAGCCACCATACACCACCACCATTATCATATAGCCACCATACACCACTATTATCATATAGCAACCATACACCACCATTATCATATAGCCACCATACACCACCATTATCATATAGCCACCATACACCACTATTATCATATAGCAACCATACACCACCATTATCATATAGCCACCATACACCACCATTATCATATAGCCACAATACACCACTATTATCATATAGCCACCATATACTACTTGTATCATACAGCCACCATACACCACCATTATCATATAGCCACCATACACCACTATTATCATATAGCCACAATACACCACTATTATCATATAGCCACCATATACCACCATTATCATATAGCCAACATACACCACTATTTTCATATAGCCACCATACACCACTATTTTCATATAGCCACCATATACCACTATTATCATATAGCCACAATACACCACTATTTTCATATAGCCACCATGCACCACTATTATCATACAGCCACAATGCACCACTATTATTATATACTATAGCCACAATGCACCACTATTATTATATACTATAGCCACCATACACTACTATTATCTTATAGCCACCATTTCTATTATCACACTACTATTATCTTATAGCCACCACCGGGATTTCTTAGGACTACTGCCGTGGATTACTGATTACAGACATAACAAAGTGCACAGTGACCCGCTGGAAAATTGAAAACAGTCATTAACAATAGAACTTTGTGTTAAATAGAGAATAAACGGGAGACCACGTGTGAGCCAGTGCACGAGGCTTTGTGTACATGCGTGTATGAGGAAAAAAATAGTGAACGGTGATTCGTGGAACAGTGAAGTGGAACGGGTCTACTCTTCTATTTCTACTATCTACTTCTACTTCTATCTATCTACTCCTCTCCCTCCACCCCTCCTCTAAACTCTCACTTTCAACTGACGACCCTCCTCGCTCCTCTCTACCTCCCTCACCCCATACCCTCACTAATTACTTTATTATCCATTTCTTCCCTTTCTTTTCTCTTATGCGTTTGTGGCAGTGAAGTGTGTTCTAGAGTGTTCTCTAGGGTTTCGGGTAGCTGATCAAGTTACGGCGCCTTGTAGTACCCGCACCTAGGTAGTCAAATACCTAGATTACAAGGTGTTGAACGAGAGAGGCTGCCGTAGGAACTCTGGAGGGTGCTCTAGAATAGTTAGCTAACTGAGGACGGGATAACGGACTAGAGATAGCTGTTTCCCCCGACCTCGTTAGTTAACTGGGGGGTGAAATAATGGACAAGAGAGAGCTATTTCCCCCATCCCCCGTTACAGTATAATCACCAGACTCACCATACTGCCCGCAGCAACTCCACCGCCACTAGCTGTAGCTGACCAAGACATCAAGGATGCAGCTATGGATCCACCGGCAATGCCTGCTGATGTGAAGCCCACAGCTGAAAGATGGATGATGAATAAACTCAGTAAGTAATGAGAGATGTGATAATTTATTTGACATTAATATACTATAAGTACTCAAAGAGAATAAAGTCAGGTATGTATACAGTAAGCATTTTTCTGAACAGTTTCCTTCTGTTTTTCCCTATGCAAGGTCCTTCTGTTTCCACTTGGGGCAGATTAACATTGAGTATCAGTACAGCGTAGGATAACCTTGATAACCCTTGGAAGTGATGCTTCCAGTGCCAACCCTTGGATTACTGGCATCTTGGACAAGTCAAGCACCAGTAACCATAGCACTGATGCTGCAAGAAGCACTTGGGAGGACTCAATGAGCTCAAAGGTGTCTCAGCCAGAAGTACTATCAGACTCACTTAAATTTTGGAAGGTACCAACTTGTAAAACTTGGATTGTGGCACTGGATGGTGCCTTCTAAATTCCAAATATGTTCAGGTTGTACTTCTGGTAGAACTTTACTCCCTCCTGTGACCACTATATCTTAAGATGGAATACAATTATAAAAACCCTTCAAGGAGATACCAGAATGAGAGTGGATCTTGAAAATACCTCCCTTAATTAACTCCCTCCCTCCTGGAGGGAGTTAATTCTGGAAAATTTTCACAAGGTCGTCACTGAACTTGTTAAAAAATATGTGCTAAGAAACAAAAAGAGAGAAACAAGAGAAAAAAAAGACCTGGAAGGCTGATACAGGGAATAAAAATTACAAACAAGTAAATGGAGATGGTATCAATCCAGCAGGAATCACAAAGATTATGAAACATACAGACGGGTATTAATTTCAGTCGCCCAGGAAATCAGATCACCCAAAAGAAACTGTGAAAGAAAACTTGCTTAAAAGATTAAGACATAACCCAAGTCTTTTTATGCCTATATGAGAAGCAAAACTAAGACGAGACTCGGTAGGACCTTTAAAAGATAAGACCAAGTTATAATTGATGACAAAACAAAGCAGCCAACGCTCAAAATGAATACTTTACATCAGTGTTCATACTAGAAAGATCAAGACATCCCAATACCCACACAATTACTGGTATTTGAAGCAGGGGAAAAGAATGAATTAAGGGACATTCTCATAATGTGTAAAATAATCAGTGAAGAGCATTGACAAAGGCATCCACAAACCCAGGTGTGGATGGAATTCAATAAAAAATCATAAAGGAACTGGTCAATGAACTGTGTCTATCACTGAAACTCCTATTCAGAAAATCTTGGGACTAAGGGAAAGTCCACCTAGACTGAAAATATGTAAATGTCAATCCCCCATCTTCAGAAAAGGCAGAAAACTTCAGTAGTAATCAGGGAAAGTTGAAAATTCCAGTTTGGCAGCAGGATGCTGCTTCTGGAAACTTTTCTTTTAAGACTGCTCATAGCCCAGTCGATAGTACTGTAGCGAGTAGATTATCCCAATAATATACTCGCTCCAAATATAGTGTTAATGTTCCTGTCAACCTTTGGAGATGAATGAGGTGAGGCGTTGCCCGGGCAACACGGTGAGATGCCCGAGCAATATAAGCAGCGGTGTAGCGAACATTAACTAGTCTACTTTCAAGTGTGGTCTAGAGCAGACACTTGCGAGATACTGTACCAACGCTCAGTGCGCTCAACTCACACCAACGTATCACCTGTGTACTTCTGTATATTCGACCAAATATATATATAGTATCTTAGTGTCTGTTTATTTGTCACCATACTCTACGTAACAATAGAACCGTTACATTGGTGACCCAGTGAGTGAAAAAGAACACCTAGTCACAAACTAGATCTTCGTCATGGATTTATCTACCAGGTTTCCAGCATACAACGCAGATGATTCAGAATTTTGGTTCATGCAGATGGAGGCTATTTTCGACCTTCACGAAGTTTCGACGATACCCAGCCCCGATGGACTACAACATGGACTCTCACTGGACCTCTACTGCTACTGTTAGCTGTGATGGAACGCTGCCAACACCCTCGCCACAGCTATGATTTTCATCGCGATCGTCTCTGCATTTTCATCTACTACGGCTTGCTGCTCCACGATCACTACTCACTCATCTGGCAGCTTCATCAGTAACTACATAATGTGTGATCTACAGCCTGTCCTGCCGATTCTCCGTCGCTGCCAGGGCACTGCTGGTTCTACAGGGGCGCCCACGAAAGCTGCTCTTTCGTCAGATTCATCTACACGTTCACTGCATTTTGATACTCTGCCGACTCAAGCCCTTTGCGCAGTACAGGACTTACAGCTTGCGTTTCCGACTCTTCGTCGCCTCCAGGACAATTCAGCTCTAGCAGTGATTACCTCGTTGTCCTAACTACGTGCCTACATTACCTCCTAATGTCCTGGTGCCCGAGCCCATCCGCCCCGGATCTAAATGCTCCACCAGCGACCCAAGGACGCAACAATTATGCACATTCTTCTCTCCTGCTACACCGAGCTTGTCCACACACTGCCTACATATTTTAGTACCAGACTGCAATTTCCACAGTCAACAATGTAGTACTCGGCGTGTACAGTCCTAATCAACCCAAGACGCTACAGCTTCGACACAGAGCAGACAGCAGACTACGACCGCATCGAGCCGCCACGCTCTCGCTCCCCGAGTTTAGACACTCACAAATCTCAATCGAGCCGCCACGCTCTCCCACATAGAGCTCCACGACTCCGGCCTCACTCAGCTCTCTGCTCTGCTCCAGGCTTCGTCTCAACGTCTGCGACACTGCTAAATCCAGAGACACATCCGCCGACTACGCAGTTCACTTTTCGACCCCAGTTACCAGCCGCACCACAACCTGATCCTACGACAACGGACGATCCTGTACGACCTCCCACCCTACAACCCCAGTTACCAGCCGCACCACAACCTGATCCTACGACGACGGACGATCCTGTGCGACCTCCCACCCTACGGCCCCAGTTAGATGACATCAGCGAAGAGGAGGAAGTTAACTTTGATGGTTATGTAACGCGAGCAGGGCGTACAATTCACCGACCAGCTAAGTTCCTTGATCAAGTATTTTTCCTTTCATCCCCTGGGAGGGGGAGTTCTGTAGCGAGTAGATTATCCCAATAATATACTCGCTCCAAATATAGTGTTAATGTTCCTGTCAACCTTTGGAGATGAATGAGGTGAGGCGTTGCCCGGGCAACACGGTGAGATGCCCGAGCAATATAAGCAGCGGTGTAGCGAACATTAACTAGTCTACTTTCAAGTGTGGTCTAGAGCAGACACTTGCGAGATACTGTACCAACGCTCAGTGCGCTCAACTCACACCAACGTATCACCTGTGTACTTCTGTATATTCGACCAAATATATATATAGTATCTTAGTGTCTGTTTATTTGTCACCATACTCTACGTAACAATAGAACCGTTACAGTACTATGGCCGCATGCGCGTGGGGTCCACGGTTCGAGACCCAGACAGCCCAGGTGAATGGAATGTTATTTCCATGGAAGTGTGGATGGCAATTTTTATGAATTTAAATGGTCAATTGACTGGCAAATTTCTTCAATATTGATAATGCAGCTCTTCTATGAAGGGCATAACAATACACATCACAACTATCATCAAGACAACAACACTACCATACAGAAGATTGATAAAGAAAAGGATCAGGGATTATGATTTACCAGTCATTAAAAGTTACACAAGTGTGAGCTGTAGTAAAAAAAAAAGGCAGCCAAACCCCTAGAAATAGTGAATCAAACCTTTAAATTTAAGGGAAAGAAAATGTTTATTTAACTGTACAAGTTTCTGGTGTGCCCCCATTTGAACTACTGTACCCAAGCATCGCAACTTCACCTTCAATAGGACATATCTGCCTTGAAGAAAGTGCAAAACAGAGCAAAAATAATCATCCCAGAACTAAGTCAACTCTGACACCAGGATCAATTCAGGGGCCATAGGAATAACAACACAACCACCAGACATAACAGGGCTCATCCCACCAAGCCCTTTAAAACACTGAACACGTTGGAGGATACTACTACTTCGGAGGATAGACTACTTCTTTAAAAGGTCAAATGTAATGCATACAAGGGGCAACAACTTCAAGCTCAACAAGCCACAATGTAGGACAGAAAACAAGACATACTTTTTTACCCATCAGGTTATAAATCCATGAAACTGCCCACTTGCTGAAGCCATAAATGCTAAGACATTACTTCATTTCAAAATCCAGCTGGAAAAAATACTATGGAACAAAGTGAAAACATTTTACACTTTCGGTGGCCCAGCGGGGCATCCAAATTGCACCGGAAGATAGGCCGAACATTTCCAGTGAGCACACAACCCAATGTTAAACTCATTAACTCTCAGTGTTTATACTTAATAATAAGACATTGTAAAAGTTTTGCATGACGACGTTTGCATCATCAGGAACTCTGCTTGTTTTGGCTTTATTATGCATTATGCGGTATCAGGATGCAAAAGTGCATTAACAAGCCACTGGCTTCTTGTCTGTTGAGGCCACTAGAGAAATTGTAGTCCTCAAGTTAATCAGGTAAATTGAGATTCTTTTGAGCTCATCATGGTTCAGTTGGCAGTGTGTGCGCCCTGGCAAATCCAGAGATGCGGGTTCGATCCCACAGTACAGTTTAAATATTTTTCTCATAGGCATATCATGTTCATGAGATTTCATGTTGTTTTTTTGTAAGTGAATCGGTTATAGAGACAACAGGCAGAGGGTTAAATAACAGTACATTTCTAGAGGTAGCAAGCTAGACTTATCTAACTTAAGTAAAATCCATGTTAATCGCTCAAACATCAAGTTCACAGCTGATATAAGGATCTAGGGAAAAGCAGGAAACAAAAAAAGATATTTTTGCATTGCAAAAATGGTCTACATGAACTTCACAGATACTGTAATCAAAAGGCTGGCAAATGCTCTTTGATATTGAAAAATGCAAGACCCTAGATATTCAACATAATACACATCACAGCTAACATACTCCCAATACAGTCTTTAAAACGGATTCAAACAACAAAATTAAAATAATGTAAGTTATATACCTGTATTACACCTGTATTAACCTGAATTCAGGTAAATTCAGATGTAATATATAACTTACAATATACTAGTTACCATACAAATTGTTATAGCAATTTTTGTGTGTGAAAGGAATCTAAGTGTGAACTTATAATATAAATTCACGTACAGTAACAAAATAAAGAAATGAGCAACTCTTTTCTAAATGTAAGACACAGGAGAAATTTAATTTTGTTTCCCAAAGGAAGAAAAGCATTATATAAATGATTTTACAACAATAAATCTAATTATTATTTCGTTAATGTTAATTCATTTGCAATATCCACTCCACTAATAAAAACAGATTGTATTTTCACACTAAAATTGTTAAAAAGTCTATTGTACTTCCTTATAAATAAATAGACAAATGTGTTGACTCACAAAAAGAACAGTACAAGGGGAACTTAAAAAGCCTTAAGAAATATGCCAAGAGAACGCACCTGCAAGGGCAACGGGTGCTAAAGCTACCACTCCAACAGCACCAGCAGTAGCCGCTAGCCCATACTTTAACGAGCTTTTTGTTTTGTTAGAGTCCGATGAAGGCGTCTTGCTATCCGAAGAAGTATTAGTTTCGGGAGAACTGACACTAGCAGAGCTGCTCTGGCTCTCCATGGTATCTCCACTACCATTTTGTCTTGCTTGCTGTTACATGAAAGAATGCATGGGTGTTCTCGAGTCACTTCAGAAAATATCTATATCTATATATATATATCTATATCTATATCTATATCTATACTGTATATAGCCCCCCTATACATATATATTCTATATACTGTGTATATACTGTATATATATATATATATATATATATATATATATATATATATATATATATATATATATATATATATATATATATATATATATATATATATAAAGTTTGTGAGGGTACCACCTCTGGTGCCAATGTGGGGACCCATAGCCTCGAAGAAGAAAATAAAAAGTATTCAGAGGAGACCTTGTGGTTTCTCACTGAACACTAATATTATCTTCTACCACCCCCATTCTTTTGTATGTACACATATATATTTACTTTATTTGAACTTTGTTACAAAAAAGGAGTTACATATGGGTTACAAAGATGGTTATCATAGGTTGTCGAGTTCCTCCAGCTCCTCAGATGGCGGGCAGGAACCCTGGATGCAGTGCGCATTTCCCCTCTGTATCGCCACAGTGAGACGCTGGAAAAGAAAGCTTGCAGCTCTTGGGTCCCTTGTCGTTTCAATGAGCCTAGAACCCAGTTCCTTCAAAAAACTGGTAGCACTTTTACCCCAGGCGCCGAGTGTCTCAGAAGCAATGGGGACAAAATTGTAGTGGTGATCCAGTTCTCTATACTTTCGGGATTTGGTTGCTTCCCTGTGGGTGGCAGCGCCACCTGGTTGTGCAACACTGAGGTTAATGTAGGTGTTAGCCAGGGTTGATACGCACGTGTAGTCCCATACCAACTGCTTGCCATTCTTCCAGGGGATATATATCTTGCCATATACATATATATATACATATATATATATATATATATATATATATATATATATATATATATATATATATATATATATATATATATATATATATATATATATATATGCGAACAAGCCTGAATGGTCCCCAGGACATATGCAACTGAAAACTCACACCCCAGAAGTGACTCGAACCCATACTCCCAGAAACAACGCAACTGGTATGTACAAGACGCCTTAATCCACTTGACCATCACGACCGGACAAAATGAGGTGATAGCCGAGGCTATATGAACCACCCCACCGCCGGCACTCGGATAGTTATCTTGGGCATAGCATTTTACCAAATCACCTCATTCTTTGGGGCACACGTGAGGAACACAAATGCGAACAAGCCTGAATGGTCCCCAGGACATATGCAACTGAAAACTCACACCCCAGAAGTGACTCGAACCCATACTCCCAGAAGCAACGCAACTGGTATGTACAAGACGCCTTAATCCACTTGACCATCACGACCGGACAAAATGAGGTGATAGCCGAGGCTATATGAACCACCCCACCACCGGCACTCGGATAGTTATCTTGGGCATAGCATTTTACCAAATCACCTCATTCTTTGGGGCACACGTGAGGAACACAAATGCGAACAAGCCTGAATGGTCCCCAGGACATATGCAACTGAAAACTCACACCCCAGAAGTGACTCGAACCCATACTCCCAGAAGCAACGCAACTGGTATGTACAAGACGCCTTAATCCACTTGACCATCACGACCGGACAAAATGAGGTGATAGCCGAGGCTATATGAACCACCCCACCACCGGCACTCGGATAGTTATCTTGGGCATAGCATTTTACCAAATCACCTCATTCTTTGGGGCACACGTGAGGAACACAAATGCGAACAAGCCTGAATGGTCCCCAGGACATATGCAACTGAAAACTCACACCCCAGAAGTGACTCGAACCCATACTCCCAGAAGCAACGCAACTGGTATGTACAAGACGCCTTAATCCACTTGACCATCACGACCGGACAAAATGAGGTGATATATATATATATATATATATATATATATATATATATATATATATATATTAGTATATTTTGGTAGCAGTCTTTCCTGTAGACATATATTATTAAATATGACCGAAAAAGTAAGATTAATAATTCTAACACGAATTTTCTCAATCTTTCGTACATTTCTTTTCACTGTTGGAGGTAAATCAAAAATCAATTCTCCAAAATTCATTTTTATTTCTAGTCTGACGCGACACGAGCGCGTTTCGTAAAACTTATTACATTTTCAAAGACTTTAGTTCACAAATACACAACTGAATAGAACTTACGCATCTCCGATTTTATATCTACATTTGAGTGAGGTGGAAGGGGTGATGTGGCATTAACACAAGACAGAACAAGATGTGGCATTAATAGGGTATTAATTTCATCAACACAAGACAGAACAAGAGTATTAATAGGGTATTAATTTCATCAACACAAGACAGAACACGAAACAATGGATATTGAATAGAAGTGTTTGTAGAAAGCCTATTGGTCCATATTTCTTGATGCTTCTATATTGGAGCGGAGTCTTGAGGTGGGTAGAATATAGTTGTGCAATAATTGGCTGTTGATTGCTGGTGTTGACTTCTTGATGTGTAGTGCCTCGCAAACGTCAAGCCGCCTGCTATCGCTGTATCTATCGATGATTTCTGTGTTGTTTACTAGGATTTCTCTGGCGATGGTTTGGTTGTGGGAAGAGATTATATGTTCCTTAATGGAGCCCTGTTGCTTATGCATCGTTAAACGCCTAGAAAGAGATGTTGTTGTCTTGCCTATATACTGGGTTTTTTGGAGCTTACAGTCCCCAAGAGGGCATTTGAAGGCATAGACGACGTTAGTCTCTTTTAAAGCGTTCTGTTTTGTGTCTGGAGAGTTTCTCATGAGTAGGCTGGCCGTTTTTCTGGTTTTATAGTAAATCGTCAGTTGTATCCTCTGATTTTTGTCTGTAGGGATAACGTTTCTATTAACAATATCTTTCAGGACCCTTTCCTCCGTTTTATGAGCTGTGGAAAAGAAGTTCCTGTAAAATAGTCTAATAGGGGGTATAGGTGTTGTGTTAGTTGTCTCTTCAGAGGTTGCATGGCTTTTCACTTTCCTTCTTATGATGTCTTCGACGAAACCATTGGAGAAGCCGTTATTGACTAGGACCTGCCTTACCCTACAGAGTTCTTCGTCGACTTGCTTCCATTCTGAGCTGTGGCTGAGAGCACGGTCGACATATGCGTTAACAACACTCCTCTTGTACCTGTCTGGGCAGTCGCTGTTGGCATTTAGGCACATTCCTATGTTTGTTTCCTTAGTGTAGACTGCAGTGTGGAAACCTCCGCCCTTTTCCATGACTGTTACATCTAGAAAGGGCAGCTTCCCATCCTTTTCCATCTCGTAAGTGAAACGCAGCACGGAACTCTGCTCAAATGCCTCCTTCAGCTCCTGCAGATGTCTGACATCAGGTACCTGTGTAAAAATGTCGTCAACATACCTGCAGTATATGGCCGGTTTCAAGTTCATGTCGACTAAGACTTTTTGCTCGATGGTACCCATGTAGAAGTTTGCAAACAGGACACCTAGGGGAGAACCCATGGCGACCCCATCTACTTGCTTATACATGTGCCCATCCGGGCTCAAGAAGGGTGCCTCTTTAGTACAAGCTTGGAGTAGTTTCCTCAGAATATTTTCTGGTATGTCAAGAGGAGTACAGGCTGGATCACGATACACTCTGTCGGCTATCATTCCGATTGTCTCGTCCACAGGTACGTTGGTAAACAGCGATTCTACGTCCAACGAGGCTCTTATCCCTGTGGCCCGTGTGCCCCGCAGTAAGTCAACAAATTCCTTTGGAGACTTCAGGCTGAAGGCGCAAGGAACATAAGGAGTCAGCAGGCCGTTGAGTCGCTTCGCCAGTCTGTACGTGGGTGTGGGTATCTGGCTAATGATTGGCCGAAGTGGGTTTCCAGGCTTGTGCGTCTTGACATTTCCATACGCATATCCAGGTTTATATTCCCCAATGATCTTTGGCAGGTGGAGTCCGGATTTCTTGGCGTTCACAGTTTCGATCAGTTTGTTGACCTTTGCTTTTAATTCGGCTGTAGTGTCCTTCGTTACCCTTTGGAACTTAGTTTGGTCAGAGAGTATGATGTTCATTTTCGCCAGATATTCGTCTTTTTTAAGAATGACATATATTGGCGACTTGTCACCTCTCCTGACAACTATCTCCTTGTTCTCACGAAGGCTTTTAGCTGCCGCTTTAAGCTCGGGGGACAGTATGGTGCTTCTGTAATTGCCTCGATTCTTTCCTCCTTCTGCAATAAGTTCTGCTTGTAAGGTATCTTTGGTAGTGACCTTCTTTTGTGTCTCGAGGTCGAATATGTCGTCCAACAGAATTTCCAACTCTACTTTCCGGGCCATCTCACTCGGTCTGGACATAACATGACAGTTTATGCCCAGATTTAGGAGAGTGACTTGGTCCTCAGTGAGGTTAATTCCTGCAAGGTTCAGGAAGCCATCTCTTGGTCGTGGAATTGCCATAGGTCCTCCATATAATGTTGTTAGTTTCTTGATAATCCTTGTTTCAGTGCTGAGGTGATGTTGGTCTGTGAGGATGTCGAGGTGTTGTTCAATGCGGGTACGGATACTTTCGTCGATGTTGCTATTTCTCCACTCGTTTGTAGCATGAAGTAGTTGCGTTTTGTTGTCTTTGATTTCATTCTCTGCCTTGTATATCTGATCACGAATCAGATCCTGGCGATATTTTATCGTGAAGGCTTGATTCCTTGCTGCTGGGTCGTGCGCTTTAATATTAGTATATTTTGGTAGCAGTCTTTCCTGTAGACATATATTATTAAATATGACCGAAAAAGTAAGATTAATAATTCTAACACGAATTTTCTCAATCTTTCGTACATTTCTTTTCACTGTTGGAGGTAAATCAAAAATCAATTCTCCAAAATTCATTTTTATTTCTAGTCTGACGCGACACGAGCGCGTTTCGTAAAACTTATTACATTTTCAAAGACTTTAGTTCACAAATACACAACTGAATAGAACTTACGCATCTCCGATTTTATATCTACATTTGAGTGAGGTGGAAGGGGTGATGTGGCATTAACACAAGACAGAACAAGATGTGGCATTAATAGGGTATTAATAGGGTATTAATTTCATCAACACAAGACAGAACACGAAACAATGGATATTGAATAGAAGTGTTTGTAGAAAGCCTATTGGTCCATATTTCTTGATGCTTCTATATTGGAGCGGAGTCTTGAGGTGGGTAGAATATAGTTGTGCAATAATTGGCTGTTGATTGCTGGTGTTGACTTCTTGATGTGTAGTGCCTCGCAAACGTCAAGCCGCCTGCTATCGCTGTATCTATCGATGATTTCTGTGTTGTTTACTAGGATTTCTCTGGCGATGGTTTGGTTGTGGGAAGAGATTATATGTTCCTTAATGGAACCCTGTTGCTTATGCATCTTTAAAAGCAAAGGTCAACAAACTGATCGAAACTGTGAACGCCAAGAAATCCGGACTCCACCTGCCAAAGATCATTGGGGAATATAAACCTGGATATGCGTATGGAAATGTCAAGACACACAAGCCTGGAAACCCACTTCGGCCAATCATTAGCCAGATACCCACACCCACGTACAGACTGGCGAAGCGACTCAACGGCCTGCTGACTCCTTATGTTCCTTGCGCCTTCAGCCTGAAGTCTCCAAAGGAATTTGTTGACTTACTGCGGGGCACACGGGCCACAGGGATAAGAGCCTCGTTGGACGTAGAATCGCTGTTTACCAACGTACCTGTGGACGAGACAATCGGAATGATAGCCGACAGAGTGTATCGTGATCCAGCCTGTACTCCTCTTGACATACCAGAAAATATTCTGAGGAAACTACTCCAAGCTTGTACTAAAGAGGCACCCTTCTTGAGCCCGGATGGGCACATGTATAAGCAAGTAGATGGGGTCGCCATGGGTTCTCCCCTAGGTGTCCTGTTTGCAAACTTCTACATGGGTACCATCGAGCAAAAAGTCTTAGTCGACATGAACTTGAAACCGGCCATATACTGCAGGTATGTTGACGACATTTTTACACAGGTACCTGATGTCAGACATCTGCAGGAGCTGAAGGAGGCATTTGAGCAGAGTTCCGTGCTGCGTTTCACTTACGAGATGGAAAAGGATGGGAAGCTGCCCTTTCTAGATGTAACAGTCATGGAAAAGGGCGGAGGTTTCCACACTGCAGTCTACACTAAGGAAACAAACATAGGAATGTGCCTAAATGCCAACAGCGACTGCCCAGACAGGTACAAGAGGAGTGTTGTTAACGCATATGTCGACCGTGCTCTCAGCCACAGCTCAGAATGGAAGCAAGTCGACGAAGAACTCTGTAGGGTAAGGCAGGTCCTAGTCAATAACGGCTTCTCCAATGGTTTCGTCGAAGACATCATAAGAAGGAAAGTGAAAAGCCATGCAACCTCTGAAGAGACAACTAACACAACACCTATACCCCCTATTAGACTATTTTACAGGAACTTCTTTTCCACAGCTCATAAAACGGAGGAAAGGGTCCTGAAAGATATTGTTAATAGAAACGTTATCCCTACAGACAAAAATCAGAGGATACAACTGACGATTTACTATAAAACCAGAAAAACGGCCAGCCTACTCATGAGAAACTCTCCAGACACAAAACAGAACGCTTTAAAAGAGACTAACGTCGTCTATGCCTTCAAATGCCCTCTTGGGGACTGTAAGCTCCAAAAAACCCAGTATATAGGCAAGACAACAACATCTCTTTCTAGGCGTTTAACGATGCATAAGCAACAGGGCTCCATTAAGGAACATATAATCTCTTCCCACAACCAAACCATCGCCAGAGAAATCCTAGTAAACAACACAGAAATCATCGATAGATACAGCGATAGCAGGCGGCTTGACGTTTGCGAGGCACTACACATCAAGAAGTCAACACCAGCAATCAACAGCCAATTATTGCACAACTATATTCTACCCACCTCAAGACTCCGCTCCAATATAGAAGCATCAAGAAATATGGACCAATAGGCTTTCTACAAACACTTCTATTCAATATCCATTGTTTCGTGTTCTGTCTTGTGTTGATGAAATTAATACCCTATTAATACTCTTGTTCTGTCTTGTGTTGATGAAATTAATACCCTATTAATGCCACATCTTGTTCTGTCTTGTGTTAATGCCACATCACCCCTTCCACCTCACTCAAATGTAGATATAAAATCGGAGATGCGTAAGTTCTATTCAGTTGTGTATTTGTGAACTAAAGTCTTTGAAAATGTAATAAGTTTTACGAAACGCGCTCGTGTCGCGTCAGACTAGAAATAAAAATGAATTTTGGAGAATTGATTTTTGATTTACCTCCAACAGTGAAAAGAAATGTACGAAAGATTGAGAAAATTCGTGTTAGAATTATTAATCTTACTTTTTCGGTCATATTTAATAATATATGTATACATAAAGATGCTACCAAAATATATAATATATATATATATATATATATATATATATATATATATATATATATATATATATATATATATATATATATATATATATATATATATATATATATATATATATATATATATATATATATATATATATATATATATTGTATCTTGGGTACGCACCCGACCTCCGAAGAGCTGGACAAGGTCTTCTAACACTGATTGTTCTATTGTAATATAAGTGTGTGTTTTCTGTAAACTGTAGCATTGCAATAAAATAAAATATAACAAAATTAATAAAAAATAATGGGGGTGGTAGGAGAGGAAAAGATTAAAGTATTCAGTGAGAATCCACAAGGTCTGCTCTGAACACTCTTTATTTTCTTTTTCGAGGATGTGGGTCCCTTTAATTACACCAGTGGTGGTACCCCTACACAAATAAGTAAATAAATAAATAAAATATATATATATATATATATATATGCGAACAAGCCTGAATGGTCCCCAGGACTATATGCGAATGAAAACTCACACCCCAGAAGTGACTCGAACCCATACTCCCAGAAGCAACGCAACTGGTAACTACAGGGCGCCTTAATCCGCTTGACCATCACGGCCGTCAAAAGGAAGTGATAGCCAAGGCTATTTGAGCCACTTCCCCGACGGCAACTCGGATGGTAATCTTGGGCATAGCATTTCACCAAATCACCTCATTCTTTGGGGCACACGTGAGGAACACAAATGCGAACAAGCCTGAATGGTCCCCAGGACTATATGCGAATGAAAACTCACACCCCAGAAGTGACTCGAACCCATACTCCCAGAAGCAACGCAACTGGTAACTACAGGGCGCCTTAATCCGCTTGACCATCACGGCCGTCAAGGGTTGGTTAGGTAGGGTTGGTTAGGTTCGGTCATATATCTACGTTAATTTTAACTCCAATAAAAAAAATTGACCTCATACATATTGAAATGGGTAGCTTTATCATTTCATAAGAAAAAAATAGAGAAAATATATTAATTCAGGAAAAATTGGCTTATTAGGCAAATCGGGCCTTGCATAGTAGGCTGAGAAGTGCGTTCTGGCTACTAGGTACGACATATATATATATATATATATATATATATATATATATATATATATATATATATATATATATATATATATATATATATATATATATATATATATATATATATATATATATATATATATATATATATATATATATATTCGAGTTTATATATATATATATATTTGAGTTTTCATTCGCATATAGTCCTGGGGACCATTCAGGCTTGTTCGCATATATATATATATATATATATATATATATATATATATATATATATATATATATATATATATATATATATATATATATACACATACATACATACATACATACATACACAGTATTTGTGGGTTAGAAAAAGTTAGTTACCTGTGGTTACCTGTGGGCCACCATATCTAGTGGCCTTGACGGGAACATTAAGCCACCGAATATTAAAGGTCTCCCCCAGTATTATGGCAGAAATTAGATAAGGAAAATTATATGGCACAAAGTAGAAAAGGAAAATAATGTAGCTGCGAGTAGCCAAGGAAAATTATATGGCAAAAAAGTAGACAACAAATTATATAGAAACAAGTAGACAAGGAAAATACAGTAATACTTTATAGTAGCAAGTTGATTAGGAAAATATCACATCAACAAAGAATAATAATATTGTTGAATAAAGTAGAATTTAGGAATGAATACCGAGAAATTGACGCGATAAATAGCTATTACCTGTGCATCCGTTTGCAAAAGATCCATGATGATCCTATTTATTGGCAAGACTTCTGGTTCTGGTCCTGCATGTCGAATCCTGAGGGGGACAATCATTAGGGAAATGGGGACTCGTTTCCAATATAATCTGCTTATCCTACATAAAAGGATACCTTTGTCAGATAAATAATAATAATGTTTATATTTTAGTATCTTGAATATCCAATCATGTGTCAATTTATATTGTAGTTACATGTTGATATATATTTTGCTACAATGTACCTTTTCATCTTCCCTGATTCATTACATTAAGGACCTGCCCAAAATACTATGCGTGTTACTGGGTTTGCAAAAATGTAAAAATACCAATCTAATGTAATCTCACATACCCATTGTACCTGTTTGTAAATAATAATTATTATTATACTCAACACATATTATACTCAAATGTACTCAACACATTTTATTCTTTTTACCCATTAGTTTTAAGCTTTAGTCATTAATGTTTTTCCTGCCCGAAACGCTTTGCGTAATAGTGGCTTTAGGCATTGTATGTACTAGCTCTATCTATAAAGCCAACAAACTTTGTAAAATCTCTTTATGTATGTACATTACCTAAATAAAAATTATTATTATTATTATTATTATTGTTATTTTTACATTCTTGCAAAGCCACTAACACGCAAAGCATTTTGGGCAGGTCCTTAATCTAAACAGATCAGATGAAAAAGTACATTGTAGAAATTTTTTATATCAACATATAACTGCAATATAAATTGACAGGTGATTACACTGGTGAAGAAGTATGTCTTAAGTACTAATATTGAGGAGTAGGTAACACAAGATAAAGTGTGAGTTTGAAGTACAAGGTAAGAAATAACGAGGATGAAATTAGGTACTTTTTGGTTCCACTTTTGAATGAGGCATAGGTTGAACAATTTTTTAATTCATTAGGGAGTGAGTTCCATAGACTGGGTCCTTTTATTTGCATGGAGTGTTTGCACAGATTTAGTTTGACTGGGGATATCAAAGAGTATTTTAAGAGTTTCAATGAGATCTGCCCTGTCATGCCTGGTTTGCAGTGTTGTAAGCCCTGTGGCCCTCAACCGTTCCTGATACGAGAGATGACTTAGCTCTGGAATGATTTTTGTTGGCTGGTATTGCACTTTCTCCAGAGCAGCTATGCCCTTCTGAAGATGAGGTCTCCATGCTTGGATTCAATAATCCAAATGGGGGTGCACTAGAGATTTATACAGATGAATCACTACAGTACTTTGAATTTACGTTAAATCTACTACTTTGACTTGTGACATATCATCAGTTTAAATTTACACTGGGTTATTAGTAATGGGAAGAAATTTTTTAAATTTGTGCATGGCCAACGAAAAAAGAATTAGGCTATATAATCTCCTGTTTACTATCCTGATCACTTGACACCTCTAAAGTTAAATACACAAATGTGTGCTAAGATTCACATTATATCCCCTTCAGCTTGGCCTTCACTTCATATTTTTTCCAACAATGTAAGGTTTAGAGATACATTAATTAATTTATTCCTAACACTTGCAAAAATTAATAATGGATCATATACTGTAATTTTAATGCTATCAACACTTAAGGGGCGTTATTTCCAAATTTGCCCAAAATATGCAATAAATGAAAACTCGTTCGATTTCAATCAAACTTTTTTGACAAGTTGTATATGAAAAGGGTTTCAATTGGTCCAAGTCTCAGCATCGTAGCATAAATAGGAAGGGAGAAAAAAAAATTGAATTATGTGTCAAAAAATTTTCAAAATGGTCAAAAACGATTATTAAACATAATGTCAACTGAAATCATGTCTATGACTCTCAGCTATCACAATAGCATATATTATATTGTGCTATATCACAATAGCATATATTTATATTGTGCTAAAGTTTAAGAATGGTGATGCAAAGTTTACTTCTCTTAATATTATAGTGTAGTTAAATCATCTACCGTCAAAATATTTTCCAAAATTATTTAATCTTTAATCTTCTTTTCTATAGTTTTAACTGCTATATAATGTTAATATTATATTAACCATATATTTATCTCTTCTTGTTTACCTAGCAGCTCCCCTCAAACGGGGTCCCCAGAACAAAAAATCTACGCACAGCCTCTCTAAATATCCAGATTAATTATAAGAACCTAATATCCCAAATGTAGTCAACACTTTTTCTCCCTTCAGGAGAGTGTTTTCTTTTCTTAAATTTTGTTTCATCCAATATTGAAAGTAACCAAAAATAATGAGCACCATATTTATTCATTACCTGCAAAGAGGGCAATCAATGAGTTCCCTGACATTGCGTATTTTGATGAGACATGATCTGCAGAACGTATGGCCACAGGCAGGAAGGGCAATGGGCTCATGATTCTGGCCGTCAAATAGATTCTCGCACACCTTACAGTTCTTCCACGAATCTTGTGCCATTTCTGTGTGCAAGATGACAATTAGGAGCAACTCATCATCTTCAGCAACCAGCATCACTCAATCCAGTAACCTAATTTGATTGTTTCCACCAGCAGTGGCTAGTTTATAGTACATCTCTATACTCATCCTGTGAGTGGTTATCACGAGATGATTTCGGGGATTAGCGTCCCGGTCCTCGACCAGGTCTCCTTTTTGTTACACATCCCCAGGAAGTAGCCCATAGCAGCTGTTTAACTCCCAGGTACCTATTTACTGCTAGGCAAACAGGGGCATCAGGGTGAAAGAAACTGCCCATTTGTTTCTGCCCCCGCCGGGGATCGAACCTGGAACCTTTCAAATTCAAAATGTTTATTCAGGTAAAGTACATACATACAAGGTGTGATACAAACATTGATGGATTTATAGATGGAGCTAGTACTACATACAGTGCCTAAAGCCACTATTACGCAAAGCTTTTCGGGCAGGAAAAACACTAAAGACTAAAACTTAATACTAATTAAGATTAAAGTATAAATTGTGTTGAGAAAATATAAACATAAAAAAGGGGGGAACATGGCAGAAAAATAGCAAATATACAATTTGGTCGACAAGCAGCATTGTTTAAAATAGCAGACATGGGTTGACATTTAGGGGTAAGGTAGGTTACAGGAAGTTAATTAGGTAGTGCTTAGTTTTATCTTAAACTGGTTGGGAGAGGTACAGTCTTCCTTAGGACTATGAATCCTGAATGCTGTCCACTTTGCTGTCAGGCACCCAGCTTTGGTGGTAGTTTATTGTACACCCACATACTCATCCTAGGAGTGGTAGTTCATTGTACACTCGCATACAGTACCCATCCTGTGAGAAGTGGTGAGTTAAGATAACCATGGGCCTCAGGCTTGTATCTGGACAAGCCTCTTTAAAATTTAGTGACCATTTTTAAGCAATTGGTATAATGAAAATAGTATTTCGTATGTGTATGTGCTACATTTGTTATATGGGCTTAAGGACAGACCAGTGGAATATTTCATCAAGTTGCTAGGCATGCATGGTCATACTGCTAAGGATCCTTCAGAAAGCTTACTTTCCTTCATGAAAGAGTACCATTAGACATTTCCAACTGTTGAGGTTACATTTAGTACTGTATATGAAACTGAATGTTACTGCAGCTGATATTGAAACAATTGATAAATGATTATTATTAGTAGCATTAAAATGTAACTGAAACTGATATTGAAACAATTGATAAATTATTAGCATTATAATGTATCTGAATTATCATGTCAAAGGCTGTACCTCTCTCAACCAGTTTAAGATCAAAACAAAGTACTACCTAATTAACTCTACTTAACCTACCCTTAAATGTCAACCCGTGTCTTACTACTTTAAACAACGTCTTACTATTTTAAACAATGTCTTACTATTTTTAAACAATGCTGTTTATTGACCAAATTGTATATTTGCTATTTTCTGCCATGTTCCCCCCTTTTTTATTTTTTATTTTTTTATTAATGTCAATAAGTATTAAGTTTTAGTCCAAGTGTTTCCCCCCCCCCCCACACACCTTGCCCAAAAAGCTACGCGTACTAGTGGCTTTAAGTATTGTATATACCAGCTTTTTCTTTCAATCCAACATTATGTTTGTAACTCATCTGAAATGTATGTACCTGTCCTAAATAAAGAATCTGAATCTGATGCTGATATTAAAACTGAATGTAACTGCAGCTGATATTGAAACAATAAATAAGTAAATAAATGTAACTGAAGCAGATATTGAAACAATGTAACTAAAGCAGATATTGAAACAATGTAACTGAAGCAGATTTTGAAACAATGTAACTGAAGCAGATATTGAAACAATGTAACTGAAGCAGATATTGAAACAATGCAACTGAAGCAGATATTGAAACAATGTAACTGAATCAGATAGTGAAACAATGTAACTGAAGCAGATATTGAAACAATGCAACTGAAGCAGATATTGAAACAATGTAACTGAAACTGGTAATGAAACTGTAACTGAAGCTGATATTGAAACTGACTATATATACCTCTTATTATTTTCTTATGTATGCATATTTTTCTAATAAAATATTATTACTCCAGGGTATCTATTTACCGTTAAGTGAACAGAAGCATTAGGTGGAAGGAAACGTGCCCAATTATTTATGTTCCACCCGAGAACCAAACCCAGGATCCCCGGATTGTGAAGTGAGAACGAAGCCACCTGTGCTACCGAGGCCCACTCCCCCAGTTAGGATTCGAAAAAGGACTCTGGCAACCCCGATAAATTACATTTTGTACTTACTGTGATTTTGATGCTATTGGGGTAAAGGTTCGTAAGAGTTCCTTATATACCATAGACACGTAAACCAGCTCCCATTGAAGTCTAGCCTCAAGTGACAGATTACGTGGACATGAAACAGCTTTCCCAGCGCTGGACACGAATGAGTCAGGTTACCAGTGGCACACACACACATACATTATAATACACCCTGTATTCTTAGCATGGGGCGGGTTCCAGAAAAAAAATAACAATGTGAATTAAAATTTAAAGCTATGTAATGTTTTATAAACAAATATATCTAAAATGTTATTTGTAAAAGATGCGCTCCGGGCTACAATTTACATTTTCTATTGAGTAACACTTGTTCATTTTAGCGCATACTCCTGTAGTGTGTGAAGCCTGTCCCAGCGTGCACAATATGGAAACTACATCTCGTGCACACCATATTTACCTGGATTTACCTGATGACCACTCTCTCTAATGGCCTCGATGATTATGATAATAATATTATTATTTTTTATTTGCAAGATGGTACAATAAATAGGTTGGTGAGATTACATAAAAATACGACTGGTATTTTTTCATTCATGCAAAGCCACTAACACGCATAGCCTTTCGGGCAGGTCCTAATCTAACGTATCGGGTAAAATGATCGGAATTAGATCAGCCAAAAGAAACTACGAAAGGAAACTTGCCCAAAACATAAAGAAAGGTCCACGGTAGAAAGGTCCATAAAGAAAGGTAAAGTTGGCGTTGGGATAGGTACACCTCTCGGTGTACCTATCCCTTGAACACTACTTGACCCCAACACCAACTTACGGTAGAACTAGGGAATCTAAGCGAGTAAATAGTTGCTTTATTTTGTATACAATTTTTGTACCTACTAATTAACCATTGTAACATGTTCTTATGTATATTTTCTAAACAAAATAATAATAATAATTTATACTAATAACTATTATAATTATGATTATTATTATTATTATTATTATTATTATTATTATTATTATTATTATTATTATTATTATTATTATTATTATTATTATATTAAATGGACTTAATTCTCATGTCCCGTTTAGGCATGGAAGACTATCAGTAAAATTAAGAGTAAAAAGACTGATCTCACACTGTCATCCTTTACACACAAACTGAGCTGGTTGGTGCGTGCGCCACCCAAGACACGCATAACACACCAAAACAGCGACCTGTCCTCAACTAAGAACGTCGCATTTCGCTCATATGCTTTTCCTAAAGCCAAAAATTGTCGTACCTGAAAATGGAAGCTTCTGGCGCAAGTGACGTACTGTCCCGTTTTCTGTTTTGGGTCCTCTGGTAGGTTTTGGAGAGGAGACTTTAAAGTGACCGTTTTAGAAAGTGTGTGACAGATAGATTACATCGCTTAGTGGCATTTATTAGGTAGGCCTCCAGCCTAGCTTCGATAAGTCACAATGAATAAGTGGGAAAGTAAAAAACAATAATGAATGCTACATGTATTCAAGAGCTTTATAACGACAGTATGTTATACATCACTGAAAACCTTTATAGAGGCAATAATTACAAATACTATGGCACTGCAAAAGTAATTACACATGCACAGACACACACACACACACACACACACACACACACACACACACACACACACACACACACACACACACACACACACACACACATATATATATTTATATATATATATATTAAACATTGGATCTCACCCCTTGCTTGTGTGTGTTCCCAATTTTAATTATTGTAAATTCATATTGACAACATTTATAAATGTAAACACCCCGAACATTTATCAATACATGTATTCAACTCCATAAAAGTGGCTGTTTGTGAACTGTCTGTAATAGACAACTATCAAAATAAAGTGCTAAGATAAGCTTACATTTATCTGAGGGTCATTATCTCTAGCGGATACAAGGGAAGCACGAAGCATCAGCTTGTCTAAGGCTTCCCGATAAAATACTCCTGATAACTCAAACTTTATCTGTCATATCAGTGATTCTGTGTGATTATAATTATTTGCTGTTCTTTGAATTGTATGATTCATACTCATGTCATTCACATATATTGATTAGAATTAGTTTAGATGTGAGTTTTCTTTCTATTAAACTGAAAACAAATTAGCCTCAACTACAAGCTTGGAATTTGCGAGTCTTATACTAAGTTAAGCTATAATTGAATACTCAATTTAAGAAAAAATATATGTTGTGGAATATATACATTTATGTTAAAGTCTTGTACTTATAGAGAAATAATTTCAACTTATTAACAAAGAAACAATTTCACCATATTAATTTAACAAAAAAAATCCCTTATATTTTGGTTGAACATTGTCAGGGACATATAGCCTATAAAACCTATCGAGGTCACGCGGACAACGTTAAATGGACATTGAATTTTCATTGGTTTAAATTTTTTTTCAGGGAAATTCCTGTGCGGGCCCTGGCTGGCCCACTAAACGTTATGCTAATATTCCAGCGGCAAAACATACTCTAGTAATGTTGAATCAACACTGAATCAGCTTTATCGACGTTGAATCAACTTAATCGACGTTGAATCAACTTTATCGACGTTGAATCAACTTTATCAACGTTGAATCAACTTTATCGACACTGAATCAACTTTATCGATGTTGAATCAACACTGAATCACCTTTATCAACGTTGAATCAACGTAGTTTGCACAACATGCGCCCACTGGGCTATTTTGCTTGGTTTAAGAGTCCAAGGCGCCCCTGGGGCTCTAAACCAACCATTTCTCGGTGACAACGATTCCTACGAAATAAGTCATATGTCTCTCGGTTCTCGTAGTAGCATTCTGGTAGATATTATGAACCTGTGAACATTCTGTGACACAGATGGTGTTATATAGACTTCTGGGATTGGCATTATCTCTTGATAATTACAGAAGCTAACTATTAATCCTTTTCCAGGATGTAATCCTAGTATATTATAAAATGTTTATCTTTGAATACCATTTATAAATTGGTAGCTAAACACAGTTCCTCGGAAACATTTTAGTAATTTTAGTAAATTAATGGTAAATTAGCGAGGCTGACTGAAAAGTATGAGTTTTTCATTAAAAAAATGATAAAGTGTGTATTGTATATTGGTTTGCAGTAGACTGTGAGTAGAGTATTATAACAAAATGTGGCTAGGCTGAATTATGTGTGGCGAGATTGTAATACAAGTGTGACTTGATATATAGCTGTAGCTAGGCTAATGCGCGCGGTGTGGCTAGGCTAATGTGCGCGGTGTGGCTAGGCTAATGCGCGCGGTGTGGCTAGGCTAATGCGCGCGGTGTGGCTAGGCTAATGCGCGCGGTGTGGCTAGGCTAATGCGCGCGGTGTGGCTAGGCTAATGCGCGCGGTGTGGCAACAAATCATAACAGAGCTTAGTCATCTCACGTATCAGGAACGGTTGATGGTCACTGGGGTAACAGGTATGACAAGGCGGATCTCATCTAAATGTTTAAAATACTGAACAATTTGGAGGATGTCGATCCAGACAATTTCTTTAATAGATGTAACACGAACGAGGATCAACGGGTTCAAGCTCAATAAACCACAAATGTTGGACAGAAAACAGGAGATGCTTTTTCACATGTAGGGTTGTAAACCCGTGGAACCACCTACCCGCCGAAGCCGTAAACGCCAAAACTACAGGTGGAAATGGGGGGACCCTTGACAAGCCGCCGGCTTCCTGTCCTCATCGAGGCCACTAGCATTAGTGGCCCCTCAGGTAATTTTTGAAAATGTGTATGGAGTCAGCCTCCATCATAGCACAGCCTAATGCATTCCATTTGTTAACTACTCTGACACAACAAATTCTTTCTAGTGTATATGTGGCCCATTTGGCTACTTAGTTTCTGCCTGTGTGTGTGTGACCAGACTTCGATGCAGGTATGACCAGATTCTGGTGCATTTGTGACCATACTCTAATGCAGGTGTGGTCATAATACAACAAAGTGACGCAGAAGAGATCAAGCTAGACGGAATGAGTAAATTGCGGAAACTGGAGCAGTTTCGTACGGTACAGGGCAAGAGGGTGAAGATAGGTCGATACTTCATGGGGGACGGTAGGATGTACAAGATGGGGCGGTGGAACAAGGGCATCCACCACCGTGTCCTCTTCCTTCTAAATCAGCACTTCGTAAAGACGGTGGGATACATAGGGTGGTATCCTCCAAGATCAGTACTTCATGTAGACGGTGGGATACATAGGGTGGTATCCTCCAAGATCAGTACTTCATGTAGACGGTGGGATACATAGGGTGGTATCCTCCAAGATCAGTACTTCATGTAGACGGTGGGATACATAGGGTGGTATCCTCCAAGATCAGTACTTCATGTAGACGGTGGGATACATAGGGTGGTATCCTCCAAGATCAGTACTTCAGGAAGGCTGTGGGATACATGGGGTGGTATCCTCCAAGATCAGTACTTCATGAAGGCTGTGGGATACATAGGGTGGTATCCTCCAAGATCAGTACTTCATGAAGGCTGTGGGATACATGGGGTGGTATCCTCCAAGATCAGTACTTCATGAAGGCTGTGGGATACATAGGGTGGTATCCTCCAAGATCAGTACTTCAGGTAGACGGTGGGATACATAGGGTGGTATCCTCCAAGATCAGTACTTCATGAAGGCGGTGGGATACATAGGATGAAGGCGGTGGGATACATAGGGTGGTATCCTCCAAGATCAGTACTTCATGAAGGCTGTGGGATACATAGGGTGGTATCCTCCAAGATCAGTACTTCATGAAGGCTGTGGGATACATAGGGTGGTATCCTCCAAGATCAGTACTTCATGAAGGCTGTGGGATACATAGGGTGGTATCCTCCAAGATCAGTACTTCAGGAAGGCTGTGGGATACATAGGGTGGTATCCTCCAAGATCAGTACTTCATGAAGGCTGTGGGATACATAGGGTGGTATCCTCCAAGATCAGTACTTCAGGAAGGCTGTGGGATACATACGGTGGTATCCTCCAAGATCAGTACTTCATGAAGGCTGTGGGATACATAGGGTGGTATCCTCCAAGATCAGTACTTCATGAAGGCTGTGGGATACATAGGGTGGTATCCTCCAAGATCAGTACTTCATGTAGACGGTGGGATACATAGGGTGGTATCCTCCAAGATCAGTACTTCATGAAGGCTGTGAGATACATAGGGTGGTATCCTCCAAGATCAGTACTTCATGTAGACGGTGGGATACATAGGGTGGTATCCTCCAAGATCAGTACTTCATGTAGACGGTGGGATACATAGGGGGGTATCCTCCAAGATCAGTACTTCATGTAGACGGTGGGATAAATAGGGGGTATCCTTCAAGATTAGTACTTCATGAGGACGGTAGGATACATAGGGTGGGATTGTGGAACAAGAGCCTCCACCACCGTGTCCTCTTCCTTCAGGCTCTGGTAGTGCGCCACTGGACACATCCACCAATACACGTGGATAACTGCGGATTGAGAAAACAAGGATTTTATATTAGTAAACAGAAAGACTTTCTAATGAAATGCACAGTTAATTTTAGTAAAAATAGCACATACCACATTTCAAGACAATCCCAATAAGTGTAACGGAGTTATTAAAGAGCTCTTATACCTATTCAATACCAGTCAGCATTTGTAAACATAAGTGTATACTAAATTTATACAGAATTACAAGCGCTAAGAGAAGAAAAGAGGATTAATGTTCTAAATATAACTTCCAACCATATATATATATTAATATTTTACGAATTCGAAGCTAAGTATTATCATCATAATAAGAGGCAGATTATGTTATAAATATGTTCACTAAATGAATTTGAAAATATTATCAACGAACTGGAACGCCTGAAATTGAATGAGGCTGTTGAATTTTTATTTTAAAAATTCAGATTATTATGTCTATTAGGCTACCGACTTTCCATTATTGCAAGTAATTATATTTGTATATCTCAGTGAGGTGTAATTTGCTAACGAGGACTGAACAGTATTTCATTGTACCGAAACAAATGATGTTGATGAGTCCAGAAATAATGTAAACACCGCCCTTGGAGAAGGTCGGATCATCCTTCCCATACACGAAGAGGACCACAATGCCAGCCACCTGGATCACGAATGGCACCATCTCCAACACTATCCATGGCAGCAGCAATGATCGTATACTCTGGTGGAAAAAAAAATAAGTGGTACTAGAGTCTGGAGGTAAGTATATACATATACCAGCCCGTTTTTACGGGCTCACGATTTTACATGCATTACATACAAAGTGGTTTAGTCAAACCAGAGTGTTTGACCCCTAGGTTACCGACTTGACCTATCCATGCTGTTGACCCGAGAATGTGTCAATGTTACGATGCTTTAAATTTTACTAAACACTGCAATTTTAACAGCGTGGTTGATAGCGTTGAAATTGTGGTAGATTTAGTGGGAAACTAAAAGTCTGCTTTTAAGCTTTTAAGAGAACTTTTTTGCTTCTCCGCTTAAAACGGAGAAGCGGCTTTAACCTCGCCCTCGATTAAAAAACATTGCATGGAATTATAGGCTTTGTTGTCAGCATGGAGAAGGAAATACGTCTGGCCTAAGATACGCGAGTAGCAAGGAATGTCAGCCATGTTGGAAAGTGTGCTGTGGAGTGCATTTTACCCGTCTTGGATATCAAAATCAATTCGCTAATTCGTGCTCCACCATCAATAAAGAGTTGCGCCAGCTAACCAATTAAGTGTACACGTAATAATTTAACGCAAAGGGGAGTTGAGAGGGGACATATATCTCATTTAATAAGAAACTGTCTGGAAGACCCAAAATGTCGTTTTAGTAGCTGAGATTGAAATTGAAGATGCGAGAGATGCCTCCACCCATCATCTGAGACTATGGGGTTACTAGCCAATCCTCAAAAGCGAAACGGTGATGTCATTAAGCAGTGATCACGTCATACTAAAGGTGCAAATAAGTAGGCACGCCCGCATTTAATCCTGCAGAGGTTGGTAGGTCTTAAGCCCAACACTAAACTTGGTGGTTGGTCAGTAAGGTGTTGTTGTGGCCTTAATAACCCTCCAGAGGTTGATAGGTCTTAACCTTAACACCAAACTTGCTCGTTGGTTAGTAAGCTGTTGTGGTGAGGTAGGTCGTGTATTGACCTGATCAAGTACTGTGAAGTCGAACTAAAGGGAACTAGATTATGTGTAATTCAAGTTCAAGTATGTTTATTGAGACAAGAAAAAATACATCTCAAAGGGATAGAGTAGCTTAGGCTATTTCTACCCCCCTCTACTTCAAGTCCCTCAAGGGGCGCACAAATTCAGTGAGTACAGATACACAAATCACAATACAACATTTAACATTGCATATTAATATAGTAAGTGTTACAATCATTGGGGCAAAATTCTTGTAGTTCCTAAGTATTCTGTCTATCATATTATGTGTAATGCTGTACAGACGTAAAGTGAAGGTGTAGAGGAACCCGAATAAGTGACGGTGAATTGCACTGTTATGGTTAACAGCATATATAATGAGTTAACAGTGTATGAGCTGTATTAGTGGAGTATTTTTGTATTGATCAAGTGCCTATTACTAACTGAGAATATTTTGTACTCATTCTACAGTAAGTTTCGTGGTATGGTGTCGGTGCCTGACTGTGAGTTACAGTGTACTCATACATTCAAATCATTGAATGAGTACTCATTCAATGATTTTGCAGTGATTTAGTAGTGATGGCAGCAATTTATACTTCTAAAGTGTTGATAAGCAAAGTATTAGGAATTTGGTGGGCTAGAATCTGAACCAAAATACGGTGAATTACAATGAATGCGTTAATAGAGTGGATCTGAGTTATTAAGGGTTTCTTTAGTGCAGTGGTCTACATCTCAGAACTGGTGATCCTGGGTTCGAACCCCGGGCGGGACAATGTAAGGAAATACTCGTACTCTGTACAAGGAGAAGTTGTGGAAGCCACCGCCATCCACAACTTGAAGGCCAGATTCGACAAAGAATTCGAACGCCAGAATAGTTAAACTATAACACAAAGGTACATTAGGGCAGTAGGCGAGGGCACTAGACCTCACTTCCCCGTGGTCACTGATAGGTAAACGCTACAATATGATTTTTACTATTTTGTTGCTCTGTCATGATTTGCGGATCTAGAGCTGGATATCCCTGGATGCATACGGATCCTGGGTACATATTAATCCATCGCTGGGGCGTAATAAGAACAATATTACAATTATTGTGTATTATTTTAATTATAATTATTATTAGTGTTCTTACCGTGCAAGAGCCGTATGCCATGAAGAGGGAAGCGAAGGTGTAGATACCATAGAAAACGAGACCGGCGATGAAGATTGTCTGGATGTCTGAAGTAAAAATATTGTTAGCCATAAATGTCTATTATTTTACACTTACTGTCTAAAAAAAAGTCATGATAGTTATAATGATGCATTAATAAACTAACCTGGGTTTAAACTACCCTGTCAACCGCTAGTGTACTTCAGTGCTTATTCACTGAGAGACAGGGTACATGTAAACAAAGTAGACGGGGTACCCGGCTGTGCCCGGGTCTTTCTTCCCTCCTCTTCCCTTTCTCTCAATCTCTCCTTCTCCCTCTCTTATCAGAGAGTGAGAGAAAGAGAGAGGGGGCAGACTGGAAGTGAGGGAAAGAAATAGCAGCTTAGGAGGAAGAGGGTGGAGAGTGGAGAGCAGAAATGAAAGAGACTTGTTTATCCCATCTAAAGTATATACATATTATATATATGTATATAATTCAAACCACTCAGACATATATTTTTCTATGACTGCGCTTATATACAACACGTTTTGTAAGTTCGTGCCTATTACATGCAAAATATACCACATATAACCACTTACGGTCGATGATGGTTTGAACCCCGACGAGTGACTCGATTAGAAGAAGCCTCGGTTCAGTGAGGTTGGCTTTGAGGGCTTCCTTGTAGACCTGGTAGTAGATGTCAAGCGTGTAGGTGACCTCGTCGACGTTGATGAGGGCGAAGCAGAACCCCACCGACCCACAGAACGCCACCACCTGCCGCAGGACGCCTAGTGTGAGGTGGTTTTAGGAGAGGTAGATTGATAGTGATGATGGAAGGGAGGTAGTTGTGGTGGTGTTGGAGATAAGGAAAGGTGATGATGTTGGTGGTGGTGGTGATGATGGTTCTGAGTGCATTAATAAAAAGGCCTTCATCCTACCATGACTTCATCATTTTGCGTTTGGTTCTACTCTTGGCGGCGAGTTTGGTTCTGCGACATAAGACAGGCGTGAACCGTCGTAGTGGTTCAACTCACCTCCTCCAACCAGATATTATACTGACGTGGGTAGGACCACCGACAGATAAGACTTGAGCTTCGATGGACACCATAAATACTGGTAGGGGTTCATTGGATGAGACAGAGGTAGTGAAAGCTGGAGGTAGCTATCCATAGACTTATACTCTGCATTCCAGGCTCAAGATTATACGTTTAACAAGAAATACGACATGCTATAGGCGAAACAGTTTGTGTGTTTGATAATTCAAAATATAATATACCATCAAGTATTAACTGATAACCAGGGCCTGAGGCCTGTGAAGTTGATGTGTGGCTTTCCTACATGATAGAGTATTATAATTAATTCGGTAGTTTCCGTGGTGCAGTGGTAAAGCACTAGCCCGGCGTTTTGCGAGTGCTTTGGCCTGGGCTCGTATCCTAACCGGGGAGGATTGACTGGGCGCCAGTCCTTAACTGTAGCCTCTGTTCACCCAGCAGTAAATGGGTACCTGGTTGTTAAACGATTTAGCAGGTCGTATACCGGGGAAAAATAGGATTAAGGACCTGCCCAAAACGCTATGCGTGGAGTCCTGACAATATAATTCACCAAGTGAAGCTGGAGAAAGTCCAGAGGTGTGCCATCAGAGTAGTTCCGGAGCTGAGAGGTATGAGCTACAAGTGAAGACTAAAGGCACTAAACCAAACGTCATTGAAAGATAGAAAAAACAGTAGAGACATCACCGCATATAAAATACTCAGGGAAATAGAGAGGACAGACTATTTATCACTGCTAGTTTACGAACAAGGGGACAAAGCTGGAAAGTAATTGCGTATTTGACCCAGAAAGACATTAGAGAGAATTTGTTGAGTGAATAGTGAATAAATTGAATATGCTAAGAGGTAAAGTGAAATAATGGATGGCCCAAGAGCCGTAGCTCATTCCTGGCAAACACAACTAGGTGAGTACACCTGGCTGTATGAAATAGAGGGGTAATAGGCGACGATTTCTAAAGTGTATGAATGCATATTTTTCCCAAAATGGTACTGTATTTACCCGTGTATAAAACGGGTATCTAATTTAGAAGTATATTGTGTCGACAAAAACAATTATAATATGGTTCATCACACATTTACTGGACGTGATTTTCAGTTTTTTTTGTAAGGTAAACAAAAATATATGATTTCTAACTCTTAAACATATGTTCTGGTCCCCGGCAGATGAATGGTCATACAGCAGCCTATCACTCATAATGAATGATGAGTGATAGGCTTATTTTTACTATTTAATATCTTTAACCCGCTTGTAATATATTTTTTATATGAATTAATGCTTCCTCCTCCTCATGCAAATGGGAAACGTGGGTAATGATAATGTCTGTATTGTATAAACCTTATATACAAATATTCAAATTTAAACAAACTTTAGATAAGGAATATACCAACGGTCAACCCTCCGCGGCAAACGACGCTGATGTAAATTTGTTAAATTAACATTGACCCTGCGTTAATTTAATGTCATTTGAGCATATTTTACCCGCTGGGGTTAGTGCCCAATGGGTACAGTATCCACCAGTGACGTTGGTTTGGTTTTAATGACGCTGAATTGACGTTGGTCCTGGATACTGTGCGCCATTGGGACATGCTCCAGTAACGTTTTCAACGTCGATTAAACGTAACATCAACGTCGTTTGCCCGGGTTCACGTGTTGAGAGACTGACCAAGCAGATGATCCCTACGGCGACGGAGCCGTTGCGCGTGGAGAAGCAACAGCAGCATGTTGTCATGACCGCCATCTTGGAGTGCCTCTGAAGAGTCCCGTCACCCACTACCTGTGATCACGCCATCAACATTAGAGCATCAAGTAATGTGTATATTCTGGATGGACAAGGATCCGTGGCTATCACTTATATTGTGTATGTGTCAAGCTTGTGACAGGCAAGCAAGGAATATATAGTATCACCTGTTGTATCAGCTGTTGCATCAGCTGTTGCGTCAGCTGTTGCGTCAGCTGTTGCATCAGCTGTAAACAAGATCATGCCCACATTCGAGCCTTGAACGGTAGGACAACAAAGGTGTCAGGATGCCACAGGATACTAGACAATTGAGAATTTTTTTTTGCCAAGTTGATGAAAGAGTCAGTATAGCTCTCTCTCACTCTTGCAATGTATGCATCACATAACAGCCCATCCTCCTGTTTAGAAGTATGTATCATCAAATGATACATACTATACTTAGGTAGTATGTATACTAACGATGAGGACCATCGTATATATATATATTGACCTAAAAAGTAATTAGAAAGTAGAAACCGGTACTATTGAATTAGGTCAAACCGGAAAATACTCTATATTGATGTTGCAAACAAAAGCTCGCCTAACGTAACCATCTTAGGCCTAATACACGCTACCTGAGGCCTAATATAGTACATATATGTGCTATACTAGGCCCTAGGAATATTTAAGTTTTGGCTAGTAGTTTTATATTTTTTCCGGACTCTGTAAAGTGAATAGTATACACACACACACACACACACACACACACACACACACACACACACACACACACACACACACACACACACACACACACACACACACACGCTATAAAGTGTGTGTATACACAGTGTGTGCAGGGGTGGTGTATGCTGCTGTATAAGGGCTGTATGACCATCCTTGAAGGTCAGAAATACAACATCCTGAGATATTAGCTTAGGTTACAAGGTGACACCACTAGGTGACATTATAAACTCGGGTGACACCACCAGGTGACATTATAGACTCGGGTGACACCACCAGGTGACATTATAGACTCGGGTGACACCACCAGGTGACATTATAGACTCGGGTGACACCACCAGGTGACATTATAGACTCGGGTGACACCACCAGGTGACATTATAGACTCGGGTGACACCACCAGGTGACATTATAGACTCGGGTGACACCACCAGGTGACATTATATACTCGGGTGACACCACCAGGTGACATTATAGACTCGGGTGACACCACCAGGTGACATTATAGACTCGGGTGACACCACCAGGTGACATTATAGACTCGGGTGACACCACCGGGTGACATTATAAACTCGGGTGACACCACCGGGTGACACGATCAGATAACCGTTACCTACACAAGAAAGTCTTTTTTTTTTTGCCGCTCACATTCAAATTCTGTCACTTCCAGAAGCTTCCACTAGGCCTTAGAGATCATCTATGCCTAGGCTTATATATGCTAATGTGCCCAAAATTCACTTTTTTTTTTAACGTCCACGGAGCTCTAAGTGTTCATCCACGGAGCTCTGAATGTTCATCCACGGAGCTCTAAGTGTTCATCCACGGAGCTCTGAATGTTCATCCACGGAGCTCTAAGTGTTCATCCACGGAGCTCTAAGTGTTCATCCACGGAGCTCTTAAATGTTCATCCACGGAGCTCTGAGTGCTCATCCACGGAGCTCTAAGTGTTCATCCACGAAGCTCTAAGTGTTCATCCACGGAGCTCTAAGTGTACGTCCACGCCACCTGGGCACCGAACACGTAATGCGTCCCTTTCCATGCGATCAACAGCTTCCCCGGCCCGTGGGCGCTGCCATGACGTCATCAAGCGACCCCCATAGCTCCGCCATTGTTTATTGTGACGTCACGGAAACGTCATCGCCCGACGTCCATAGCCTTGCCATTGTTTATTGTGACGCCACGGAAACGTCATCGCCCGGCGTCCATAGCTTGCCATTGTTCATTGTAACGTCACGGAAACGTCATCGCCCAGCGTCCATAGCTTGCCAATGTTTATTATGACGTCACGAGAACATCATCGCCCGGCGTCCATACCTTGCCTTTCCATATGTACCCATTACTCCCATATATATACACATTACTCCCATATATATACCCATTACTCCCATATTCATACCCATTACTCCCATTAATAACCATTATTTTACCATGACAGGTTTCAGCAGGACAAATGCAGCTCATAAATTATTTCGCGCTAATTAGTTTACAAAAGCTTTTAAACTAAGTGTTTAATGAGGAATTATTGCTCTTGGGGGACCTGCGGGCCGCGGGGAGCAACAGCCAGACTGATCAAGTGTTAACTTGATAAGCCTGACCTCAGGTCAGGCTTGGGGAGCTGAACTCTAGAAACCAAATGTAGGGTAAAGTACAGGTGCATGTGTTATCTAGGGATGTCTGTGGGGCCCTTTCCCCCTAGGGGGCCATACTGGCCTGGGAGCCAAGGGCCCTGGAGGCCACTGGGGGCCAAGGGCCCTGGAGGCCACTGGGGGCCAAGGGCCCTGGAGGCCACTGGGGGCCAAGGGCCCTGGAGGCCACTGGGGGCCAAGGACCCCGGGGGCCACTGGGGGCCAAGGACCCTGAAGGCCTTTGGGGGCCAAGGGCCCTGAAGGCCACTGGGGGCCAAGGACCCTGGGGGCCACTGGGGGCCAAGGACCCTGAAGGCCACTGGGGGCCAAGGACCCTGGGGGCCACTGGGGGCCAAGGGCCCTGGAGGCCACTGGGGGCCAAGGGCCCTGGAGGCCACTGGGGGCCAAGGACCCCGGGGGCCACTGGGGGCCAAGGACCCTGGGGGCCAAGGGCCCTGGAGGCCACTGGGGGCCAAAGACCATGAGGCCCAAGGACCCTGGAGGCCACTGGGGGCCAAGGACCCTGAAGGCCTTTGGGGGCCAAGGGCCCTGGAGGCCACTGGGAGCCAAGGACCCCGGGGGCTACTGGGGGCCAAGGACCCTGAAGGCCTTTGGGGGCCAAGGGCCCTGGAGGCCACTGGGGGCCAAGGACCCTGAAGGCCTTTGGGGGCCAAGGGCTTTGGAGGCCACTGGGGGCCAAGGGCCCTGGAGGCCACTGGGGGCCAAGGGCCCTGGAGGCCACTGGGAGCCAAGGACCCTGAAGGCCTTTGGGGGCCAAGGGCCCTGGAGGCCACTGGGGGCCAAGGGCCCTGGAGGCCACTGGCGGCCAAGGGCCCTGAAGGCCACTGCGGGTCAAGGACCCTGGAGGCCACTGGGGGCCAAGGACCCTGGAGGCCACTGGGGGCCAAGGACCCTGGAGGCCACTGGGGGCCAAGGACCCTGGAGGCCACTGGGGGCCAAGGACCCTGGAGGCCACTGGGGGCCAAGGACCCTGGAGGCCACTGGGGGCCAAGGACCCTGGAGGCCACTGGGGGCCAAGGACCCTGGAGGCCACTGGGGGCCAAGGACCCTGGAGGCCACTGGGGGCCAAGGACCCTGGAGGCCACTTAGGGCCAAGGACCGAGCCCGACCCACAGTGGCCACCACTTAAATATTAACAGGTAATCCCACTAAGCGGAGGGAGCAGGTTCAGAAGTGGTTGTGATCAATAGGTTATTACAGTAATTGTTTGTTCAGTAGTTAAGACGCCGTCAGCAGAGCACACACGTCTTGTAGGACGCTGGAGAGGCCGCTGTTTACTACAGCCCTCGCTAAATGGTCGTTACACGCGCTAAATGGTCGTTACACGCCCTAAATGGTCGTTACACACGCTAAATGGTCGTTACAGCCCTCGCTAAATGGTCGTTACACGCGCTAAATAGTCGTTACAGCCCTCGCTAAATGGTCGTTACAGCCCTCGCTAAATGATCGTTACAGCCCTCGCTAAATGATCGTTACAGCCTGCGCTAAATGGTCGTTACAGCCCTCGCTAAATGATCGTTACAGCCTGCGCTAAATGGTCGTTACAGCCCTCGCTAAATGGTCGTTACAGCCCTCGTTAAATGGTCGTTACAGCCCTCGCTAAATGATCGTTACAGCCCTCGCTAAATGGTCGTTACAGCCCTCGCTAAATGATCGTTACAGCCCTCGCTAAATGATCGTTACAGCCCTCGCTAAATGATCGTTACAGCCCTCGCTAAATGGTCGTTACAGCCCTCGCTAAATGATCGTTACAGCCTGCGCTAAATGGTCGTTACAGCCCTCGCTAAATGGTCGTTACAGCCCTCGCTAAATGATCGTTACGGCCCTCGCTAAATGATCGTTCGAGCGGTCTCTCTCTCTCTCACACACTGTTTGCAAGTGTTTATGAGTTACCAGGCCAACGGGAGAGGGGTCGATACCCGTCTTATGAGACCCCGAGTGCCATCCTCTCAGCCTGTCAATAATATCTTACCCTGTGTATACCCTCCATCATTCACAAATGAATTTATTTCAGGCGTGTTCGGGCGTATCCGAACACCGTCCTTTCTCCGCGCGACCAGTGACTATTTCATCTGTATAAATTATTAATAAATATGAAACAGTCTATGGGTTGTTTTTTTACTTGATAGATTTACATAAAAAAAATAATTTGTGGTTTCGTGAAGGAAAACTAAATTGAACGTAAATTTAGTTGTTGGCGCCCGAGTAAATTAATTTAAAACTCATATTAACAAGATTTTCTTACAAACAAATAAACCGGAGAGAACACAGAAAGAAAGGGGCATAAAAACAGAACAGTTGACCAAATATATCGGGGAAAAACTAGACTTGAAGAACAAAAAAGTCAAAAACAAAACTTGAAGAACAAAAAGTCTTGAAACTCAAAAAACTAAACTTGAAAAACACAGAAAATTTCAACAACTCATGAAGCAGAAAACGGAACTTGAAAAACTCAAAAGGAGTAACTAACATCATATGTAAAGTGTACATAGGACCTTGAAGGCAATCCTGAGACCAGCGTGATCGATGCGTAGACTGTTGCAGAGTGATTGGCAGTGGTCCTGTTAGTGGGGGGGGGTAGTAGATTGTTGGGGGTAGAGGGGAGTAGATTGTTTGGGGGGAGGAGTAGATTGTTTAGGAAGGAGGGGGAGTAAACTCCTTGGGAGGGAGGGGGAAAGGACGTTGTAAGGAAGTATACCAGAACACCAGTGTGTATACTAGTATACGAAATAAGTATACTAGGACCCCCAGCATACCAGCGCCCAGGTATAGCAGGAGGAGTAATGAGACATATGATCAATGAGAGATGAGGAGACATGATGAAAGGTGCAACACTGAGTTACAGTGAGTTATGGGCTGTCGGTCCTCACCCCTCCTCCTCCTCCTCACCGTCCTCCTCACCTCTCACCCCTCCTCCTCCTCCTCACCGTCCTCCTCACCTCTCACCCCTCCTCCTCCTCCTCACCGTCCTCCTCACCTCTCACCCCTCCTCCTCACCTCTCACCCCTTCTCCTCCTCACCTCTCACCCCTCCTCCTCACCTCTCACCCCTCCTCCTCACCTCTCACCCCTCCTCCTCCTCACCTCTCACCCCTCCTCCTCACCTCTCACCCCTCCTCCTCCTCACCTCTCACCCCTCCTCCTCCTCACCTCTCACTCCTCCTCCTCACCTCTCACCCCTCCTCCTCCTCACCTCTCACCCCTCCTCCTCACCCCTCCTCCTCACCTCTCACCCCTCCTCCTCACCTCTCACCCCTCCTCCTCACCTCTCACCCCTCCTCCTCACCTCTCACTCCCTCCCACATAAACAACCGAGGCTGGAAAGGTTCAATTATCGAATAATTAATACAATGTTAACCCCAGCAAGGTGCCAGTGAACACAGCAGCCAAGGGTAACGTCAATTCAGCGTTGAGTTAACGTCAAAAACGTCGTTTCAACGTCACTCTTGGCTATTGTGTCTACCTGACGTGGCTTCAACATCACTCCTGACTATTGTGCTAAGTGTGTAAAGTGGTACACTGGTGCCTGTAGTACTTAGTCCTCTACTCACACTCTAGCATCCCGGGTTCGATCCCCGGCGAGACAGAAATGATTGGGGGGACGCTTCCTTTCATCTAGTGCAACTGTTCGCCTGGCAGTAAGAGGCATCAGGGAGTCAGGCAACTGTTTCGGTTTGCATCCTGTGGGGAAGGTCAGTAGGTCAGGAGGTCATCCTAAGGAGGACTTTGACGAGTCAAAGTTCAGAGTTCCTGTCACCGCCTACGGGAATTAAACTGAAGCAGGTTAAGAGCATTTTCATATTAATAATTTAGACTAAAATATTTAGTCCACACAGGGCATCTTTTTCTCTTTTTCTTTTTTGTTACACACCTCCCAGGAAGCAGCCGTAGCAGCTGTCTAACTCCCAGGTACCTATTTACTACTAGGTGAACAAAGGCATCAGGGTGAAAGAAAATCTGCCCATTTGTTTCCGCCTCCACCGGGGATCGATCCCGGAACCTCAGGACTACGAATCCGAAGCGCTGTCCACTCAGCTATCAGGCGCCCTAACTGGTGGGATAGTGGAATAAAACATGAAGACGATGAGTCACAATAACGTGGCTGAAGATATGATCACCATATACGGGCTCACCATAGCCCGTGCTACGTTGAACTTTTTCTTCTAGGTAGCGACTCTCAAACAACAACATAAGACGACCAGACAACACTCCAGAATATGGAGAAACAACACCGAAACGTCGTCGTTTCACTATTTTTTACGATGTAAATAAAAATAAAAATAAAAATAAAATAAAATGTTTATTTAGGTAAGGTACATACATACAATAAATTTTTACAAAGATTGATTGACTTATAGGTAGAGCTAGTACATACAATGCCTAAAGCCACTATTACGCAAAGCGTTTCGGGCATGTGTCATATATAAATAAATATGGCAGTATGGAAGTTATTTGGACGGAGTCGACTGCATACGACATCGCAGCCTTTCCTGGGTAGCCTCAGAGAGGCAGTATAAGAAACGATTCTTTTTTTTTTATTTTAAAACAATTCTTCGCGGCAGGGGGTCGTATTCCAGGGACTTGCCCGAAACGCTACGCGTACTAGTGGCTGTACAAGAATGTAACAACTCTTGTATATATCTCAAAAAAAAATAATAAGCAAGGAAGGTGTAGACAATGAAGAGAGCGTGACTATGGATCATTGTATCCGAGCAGTGTTGCCAGTTTGGGCTACAAATAGCGAATTGGGCTACTTTTGAGAGCCCCGCGCTCCCAAATTTTTAATTTCGCTACTTGCTATTTTTTGGGCTAATTTAAAAGCAAGATGTGCTAATTTGGGCTATTAATGTTAAGAATGTACGATTGCGAGTTACATGAAAGTAACTAAGCTATAAATAATTGTAATTAATAATAATTGTAAATATTAATTAATACTAAATAATATTATTTAATAAATTAGTCCCAATTCAATGCAGAGTTTTCTTCCAAGCACAGAAACTTGTAAATATAAATACAAGATAATAGATAGATCGATAAATAAATAGAGAACTTTCAAATATTGCACCAAGCAATGGCGAGAGGAAAAAACTAGACAGTATACATTACATTTGAGATTAGTAATGGATGAATGGTAATAAATTGGTGTATGTTTGTATGTATACCAGACAAAGTCCATTTAATGGCAGAATTTAGCCATTTTGTGTAAAAACTTTTATATCTCATATTATTAATTATAACAGTAATCGTAAAAAGTCATAGTTTGTATATACAAGAGATGAAACAGAGAGCCATGAGCTAGATCGATGTGCTGAGTCCATAAGGAGGCCGAGCTTCCAGAGATACCATCCTGTGATTGGCTGTTGCGGGGAATACCAACACTCTTTTTATGAATAAAATTTAAACTAAGAAATAGGTCCTTGTGCACAACAACAAGGGTGTTGTGAAAAAGAACAACAATTTCTGTTTTGCACCTGACAGAAATCTCCATCTAACTGAATAATTTACTCGAATAAGAGGGCAGAGCATTGTATCATTATTTGTGTCATGGCAACCACCAATAATAACGTCCCAAGTTAGGTAGCCAACCCATGTTTCTGTAACACCCGTTACATCCTGTAGTATTTAATTATCACTTTATTGACACTTTAAATAATTAACACTTCACTTTTTAGGTAGATTAAAGTTGAAGCAGAATGTCATAAGCATCGATGGTGTGCTGAATAAAAATGATTTATTAAGTGGATGGAACCTTTAGCTGATCCCTTCCTGTGATTGGCTGTTGTGTGAATGTCAACAAAGAGTTTCTACCAATGATATGCCATTTATTACGCACCCCATACCATCTGTGGGCGGAGCTTGGAACCTCCTACCCGAGCACAACAACCCACCTTATGGGTTGCTGTTTGGCTATTTATAGTGCGTTGGAAAAAACAGAGATGGCGTTAGTTGTATTTTGTAGGGTAATTTGTTATAAGTGCAATTTGATGTCAACAGATGGCGTAAGCTGTATCTTATGGCCACTGTTGACCAGCTAGTTGATAGTGTTCTCGTCTGCCGACAGATGGCATCAGCTGTGTTATTATTACTTCCGAATTCCCTTTAAACACTGATCTACAAATCCCTTGGCTTATGATAAGGTTTTATACCATTTATGATAAGTATTAGATAACTGGAGTTCCGCAATTACTTTTATTTATCAACTGTTCAGGATATCATATAACGTCTTGTTAGGATGTACTGCTCTCGATTGATGAAGATTAAGCCACCCAAGAGGTGGCACGGGCATGAATAGCCCGTAAATACTGCTCTCGTAATATTATTCAGGGGGGTGGGGGAACTATCAAGTGAAAGCGCCAAGACATTACGGCTATATAGCACTCGGAAGGGATGAGGATACGGATTTGGGATGGAACGAGGGAAAGGAATGGTGCCCAACCTCTTGGGCGGTCGGGGATTGAACGCGGGCCTGTAGGAAAGAAGACAGTCGCTCTACCGTCCAGCCCAAGTGGTTAAGCGTAATATTATTAAAACAACAATTTATGCATATAATAACAGCATTTCACACTAAAAATACTTGGATATATTGAAATTTGGAAGTGAATTCCAATCTAGGAATCTCCTATGACTAAACTGTACTTTTTAATTATTTTTATGTACTTACTACTTATTATTAAATTATTAAGTACTTATTATAATAATTAAATGAATTATTTTATTTAATATTTAAATTAAATGATAAAATAATTGGTAATAATAAATCATTGTGTAGGGGGACAGGCAGCCAGTGTATATATACATGTTAGGCTTACACCAAGGTGCCACAAAGGTGCCACAAAGGTGTCAAATTAAAGACTGGGTGCTGCCGGGGCAGATTGTTGGGGGTAGCGGGAGTAGATTGTTTGGGGGGTAGGGGGGGAGTAGATTGTTTGGGGGGTAGGGGGGGAGTAGATTGTTTGGGGGGTAGGGGGGAGTAGATTGTTTGGGGGGTAGG